TGACTCTCACTCTCACTCGCACTCTCACTTTCACTTTCTCACTCTCACTCACTCACCCACCACCATCGCCACCGTCACCACGATCCCCACGTTCATCACCACCATCACCCCATCACCTCTCTGGACTTCAATGCGTCTAGATCTCTAGACTTTCTGCTTATAGACCTCACACACACACTGTTTGGGGTCTCTTGCCGGGATAATATATATATATATTTTTTTCTTGATTCAGGTGATTTTGCCGTTGTTTTTTGGAGTGTTGGACAAAAAACATCGACCAACCTCCAACCAGGTTGCTTGTTGTAGACGTTTGGGTCACCTCAAAGTTGCAACTCGTTTGGGGTCTTGGAGGCGGCCACATGCAGACCACGACCGGGTGGGATGGAGCAGATGGGTGGATTGGGCAAATTGGTTCTGCCATCGTAATGTTTTTTCTTTTGCGTTCCCCATGTTAGAGGGTTTGAGTGGTTGGACATTGTTGGAATGGTTGACAAGTATGAGGATGAAACGGGGCTGGTTTCTGCATGATTTTTTTAAATTTCAGGACGTTTAATGTTTTTTGATCAACATACAGATGACTTATGGACGAGGAAATCGCACAGTTTGTACAACTTTCCAGGGGCAATGAACGGGGAAGGGAAATAAGGGGTGTATAGGGATTTGTACGGATGCATTTGTCAGGCGTCCAAGAGATGGTTTCATATAATATATATATATATGAAGATGTTGGTGAACGTCAGAGAATTTCCCGACGTACCAGTTGAAAACACGGTAATTACTCGTGGAAACTGGTATGGTGCTGGTATGCATGGGTTCCGTCTCGGTGGAACGGTTTAATTTGGATTCTGTAGATTTAAAAGCAGTGGCCTCCAACCTAAGATTTGGATTCCTTGATGGCCACTTAACTGCTTTCTCCCTGGACGTGCCTCGTGTGCTGCGCTGCAGTGTGCTGCTTCCGAGTGCCTAGGAAGAACATTTGCGGGCTTCCGAGTGGCCAGGATGACTGGGATTTTGGCAAGGCGGGAGTCCGGCTGGAGCTGCTTTTGACACGAAAACGTGTGTTGGGAAGACAAAAAAGGTCTCAAAAGCAGGTCTGAAGAGCAAATAAGGTTTGAAAACAAGTCTAAAGACACATATAATATCTAAAGAAAACACATGTCTAATGAAACACAACCCAAACCCGTGTTTTCAGGACTTTCAAAAACAAAGAAGTACCCGTCATGAGTTCTGTTTAAAGCATCTACAAAACACGAACACCGAGCCTGGAGAGTTTGCGTTTCTTGGCACCTTTTTCCTTTACCGAGCTTACACCGGGTCGCCAACACACCGGAGCCGGGAACACGTGACACTGGAGTACGGGCAGTGGGACTTCGGAGTATGGGCGCCAAAGCTGAGAAGAAATGACTCAAGGGTATGAATAGGGTCTGTCCTATTACCTGTAACAGTCAGTAAACAAGCAAATTACTATTTTTGGACAAGGCCTCTGCTAACCATCATCATCATCATCATCATCATCATCATCATCCACATCCACTGTTACAGGTAATATAATAACCCAAGGTATAAATGAATAGATATGATCATAAGATATCATAAGTCAAATACACCAAATGGTCTTCCTATCTCCCTCCCTGCCTCTCCTTGAAGTCCACAATGCACCTTTTTCGTGTCGGTGTCGTTCGAAGACGACGCCTCCTTTTTGCGCTCCTTGGTTCCTGTTGGGACAGGGCGATACCGACCCCTAGGGCTCCAGTCGTAACCAACCCCAAACACCTACCAAACGAAGGTACGACTGGAGCCCTAGGGAACAGCTCTGTCTCGCTGCGAGCGTTTTTCGAGGAAATAATTGGAGAGCGCCTGCCTGTGACTGCAACCGATGTGCAACCTATACTTGTTGGCCAGGTGTGAGTGGAGTAAGCCAATTGCCTGGGCCCGTGACTGCGCGTGGTTATATAGTGATTGGGACTCATACGCGCAGTGTCAGCATTCTTCAAAGAAGTGCGCTGGGATGTGGTCGTGTCCCGACACAGGATTTGACCCGCTTTCCGATGGTGTGGGGATCGGCTTTTCGTTTCCTTTAGCCTGCAAAGGGGGGCAGATAGCCCAGGACCATCCCCAACAGGTTCCTACAGCCATAGATGTCCATTAATGCGCACGCAGGGTCAAGCAACCACCCCCTATTAATCAATCCCAGCTCGACCCCTCCAATACTAAACTAATTAAACACCTCGATTTCCACCGTGGCATCACCCTAATAATCTTTTTCTCTACCAGAAACCTCCCCCTATTATATAATCAATCCCAGCTCCCCCAGAAAAATAAACATATAGTGGACTATTAAACTTTTTATTCTTTATAATTCTTTCTTTTTAGCTAAGGAGTTGATGTCGGTAATCAGCCAACTCCTCAGCTAGGCTTTCTGCCGTGGAAGCAGCTTCCACCGGGCTAGGGCGTCTCCAAATCTTCTGGTCCATGGTGAAACTGATCTTCTGATCCACCCTTGTCTCATGCCATCTCTTTGAGAGATAGCATTCTGATCCACCCTTTATTAGGGGGATGTGGTCCTCAGATACCTCCAATCTCAGACCTTGTTGACCTTGGAGGGGGGGTCCCCGTATATTACTCACATGTCCCATTTGGTCCATCTTTCGGATCCATCGTCCATCGCCCTAAACGGTGGTTTGCTCGCCAGGCGGTGGATGAGAAGACTCAAACCTTTGTGGTGTGTTTAGAGATCCTGTCAGATGCACAGTGATTCACCGCGGCCACGGCCGATTTTTCGCGGCCGATGAAGAACGTGAGGGAGATGATCAACGCAGATAAAGGGAACAGATTGTTACTGACTTCTGTTTGCATCAGAGAGAGAGAGAGAGAGAGATAATTTCTAGCAATTTATGTGAAAGAGCCGAGCTATAAAGATCACATTGGCACCCCTTCCAACATTCTTCATGGAAGAATGACCAAAGAAATGGATCATCATGGGTGGAAGTGGAAGGTGGTCTCTTATCCCTCAACCAGGGGGGTGGAGGGAGCACCCACATTGACAAACTCAATGGCACCAAGGGGTCTTTAGGCCACCCGGTCAAAGTATCACCCGGTCAGTGAATTATAGTGGTACTCCGGCTACCAGTACCCTCTTTCCAACAACCATAACACACTGATCAGGGAGTCTATCAACCACCCTGGTGGTTCTTTCTTCATCTTCCGAGGGCCCACTTCCGCCAACTCCTTCAGAGCACAAACAAATCCCGTCTGGTTTTTGTCCAAGAACTCAAAAAAGGGGTTGACCTGGTTTTGAAAGAACTCAAATCCTTGGAAAACAACATGGTTGGGGAGTTCAGACTGAAGCCGATGCCAAGGCCACGGATCCGAGATGCGAGACCCGCACCCGGTCGATTGGTCAACAAGACTGTGTACTGAAGAGATTGGTCGGTGGCTTCTGGTTGGTGAAACGAACTGTTTCTGGTGGGTTTCTCAGGGTTTCCGGGCATGTCCTGATTTTGGATCACAGGTTTTCAAAGGAAAGAAGGACTCGGTCCCAGTTCGGTCCCAGTTCGGTCCTGGAGTCAAGCTCGCGCTTTTTGGATGAGATCGACTCGATCTCGACCTGGAAACCGGTGATTTTGGGTCTAGAACTTCTCAATGTATCGCCCAAAAAGAGGTGAATTTGGGGTGAGCAATCACCACCCCGACCGTGAGTCCGCTTTCGAAAGGAACTGCCAACCGATGACCACTCACGGAATCTCACCTCGCATCTGCGACCTCGGCCGTCGCGTCTCCTCCGTCTCCTCCGCCTCAACGGGTCCACCTCACCCGCGGCCCAAAACGAGAGCGGGACGGAGGGCGGTCGGGACGGGTGTGGGTCGGGACGAAGCTCAGAAGAGTGGGATGAAGGAAAGTGAATCCGAGATGAGGAAGAGCAGCGACTGGATTCTGGGACTTTTTTTCATAGACCGTTCGGTGTGACTTTGACCGTTTGAGGGACCTGTCTAAGGTCTAGAGATATTGCTTTCAGTTTGTAATCTGTAATGTCAAGCCTGACCGTTCCGGACAGTGAAACGCAAGCTTAGCAAGCCTTGAAAACCGGCTACACTCCTGTAAGCAAGCTCCAAAACGGTTCGGTTCTCGTTACGATCGCGTCGAATTCAAGAATCTTCAATCTGGTTTGGTGTCCGTTCGCACCATTTGCCACACGTCAAGCATGCTTTCGGGGTCATCGTTCGAACGATCCAAGTTAGTGGAGGATGTCGGGGGTCCGGAAGTCATGCTCGGCAAAGTTTCTGCTGTACTTCCTGGTTTTTCCAAAGCGACCTTTAGATCCCCCTATACCTTGAGTTTACTTGGTGTAAGAGGTCCTTCACAAGAAAGGGGACTCCAAAAAGGGCACGAAGTGAATCACGAAGTGAAGGTCTGCGCGTCGTTGATGATCCCTTTTTGGACGCAGGACCCCGGTCCTGTGGACCCCCGAGGGCCAAACGGAAGCCACCCAACACCACCGGAACTCGGGCGTAGCGGAAGCCACTCCTTCCTGTTATGAGAGCTTTGCAGCCACAGCATTGGAGTAGTGAAAATAGGTTTTTTATCATTTGTTTAGCATATTTTTATTGTTTATCATTATCATTATTTTATCATGTTTTTATCATACCTCAACCTGTGGACTCTCTCATCATCGTTTTATTATCATTTGTTTATCTGTCTTTTTGTCCGTTTCTAGGTCATGTGTCTCACATTCTTGTCATTGACTTTTAGCATTGAAAACACGTTGAGCACCACTCAACCGGGAGACACAATTGTTTGAAACACTTGGTCTGGTTGAGAAACTTGAGCCAGCACTCTGGCTCAGTCCAGGTCGCGTTGCAAGACTGCACCAATTGAGGACAGTGCTACCAAACTACCACATCCAACAAACGTAAGGCAACTAAAACACACAATTATTTACAGTAATGTTTTGACTTGGATAGTCTAGACTAGAGTCTAGACTCGACGCCCGCTGAATGCCCATGACTTCCGAAGATGCAGCATTGTGCGAATCACTTGAAGAAAAAGGAACTAGCAGCTCCAGTGGTTCATCGGGCCACCACAGCTGGGATGAAGCATATGACGAGGAGTTGCACTTGAGCCAGACAGATATCGGGCTGATTGAAGAGGCTGAGGACATACGCACACCATCAGATGGTGAAGATGAAAAGAAGTTGGTGACTTCACAAGAGACGTCACCAGGCTGGTGGCTCAAGGTTCTCCAGGACACAGCTGCTCAGATCAGACTGATCAGAAAGCTGTTTTGTTTCAAGCTGATTTTGGTAAATTACATACCCCCCTACCCGACAAACTGTTCAGTCCGTCTCTTCATTCATTTAAGGTTGGCAAGCTTCATTTGCGCTGGCCTACATGGGGTGCTACTAAACGGCCTTTGACGGTGATGAGTGCCTGCAGTGGGTGCAGTGCAGAGAGCTTTGCCCTCAAAGCTCCTTTGGCTTGTAGGGGGGGTGGGGCAGGGCAGAGCAGGGTTGTGTGGGTTTATTGATGAGTGTTTCTGTGATGCTGCAGCATTTTGAGGCTGCAAAGGCAGGTTCGGGTAGTCATTTGGGTAGGTCCGATATGGCCGATATGGAGCACCAAGAACCGTTGGCCAAGAGGGCACGGCTTGAAGAGCCAAGCCGCAACAGCAGCCGCGCTGTGGTTTCTGATTCTACTTCTACTACTTCTTCAACAGGCTCGGATCATCAGTGTGAACCTCCTCTGCAGTCTGAGAATGACTCTGGCTCTGGCTCTGAGTTGGGCATGGAAGGACACTTTGACTGTGAATATGCTGAGACAGAGGTGGCAGATGGTGAAGGTGTCTTCGGGTTGACGAGAGAGGGCGAAGATGAAGATGAACACTTGCATCCAATCACCGCCCATGTCTTATCCTCGGACATGGAATTTGAGTTTGAATCCGCAAGCCCTTACTCTGCGCACACGCCTGACTTTCCTCCACCACCAACACCTCATACCCCACCACTTCCAGAAGATCCAGAGATTCCATTGATTGTGGATGAAGAGGAAATTGCACGCATCCACCAATTAGCTCAAGCGCGAGGAATTCCAGGACCTGCTACACCAGAAAATATTGCTAGCGGTCCAGGACCTGCTACACCTGAACATATTGCCAGCGGCAATGATCAAGTGGCTTCAGCTGAGGTACTTCGCTTTATCCGAGACATTCGAGAAGCACAAGGACTACTACCTGAGTCTGAGACAGAAGAGCATCAAGGGGAGACAACAGAGACAACACCTTTGAGAGAGGTGACGTTTGTATCTCCTGAGGAATGGAGCATGATGCTTCGGCGCGATCGGCGCAACTTGAGTTTGATCTTCTACAGACAAGAGCACGGCTTCTCGCCAAGTCCACTGGCAAGTGTAGAAAGCCCTGCAAGTGATTGGCGTTGGTCTCCCGATATGGCGTGAGTAGGTGAGCTTCTAGCTAGCTGCTGCTAGCTGCTAGATCATTTGATTGAAATCTAGATTTAGATCATTTGATTTTGAATCGAGCCAGCGCTATTGCAAACGCAAAGCCCGAGCTCGTCCATTGCAACCTCTGGGCATAGAGCCTGGAATATGGAATGGCACAGTCTTGGAATCAAGTAGCAGCACAGTCAAGTGGCTAAGCTCCAAAATGGGGGCTAGTTGGTGAACAACTTGCCCACGACTGGACTGCTGTTTGTATTTGTCTTAGTCTTAGATTCTTATATAGAAATCATGGAGTAATGAGTTTCCAAATGAAATGCGCTCAGAGTTATGAACGAACATTTTGTGGGTGATTTCCTTGAGGGTCAGCAGCCAGTAGGAGGCAGCTAGCTGCTATGCTATGCCGCTATGCTATACCCCGATGACTCCCATGACTCAATGATTGTGTTAGCCATACCTAGTTGAGGCTGTGTTTGTTGTTTTTTGTAGATTGTAGATATTGTATATTTCCTCATGTTGCTTATTCCCGCTTCCACTCATGCAAGGCTTTGGGCGTTCCTTTTGTGCTGGCGTCGGCTTCAGATACCTGCGAATCATACCGCCAGATGATGGGGTTGAACCACGGCCCTACTTGTTCTTCAGATCCCAAGGCTGCTTGCAGGCTCCTCCATATGTATGCATCAGCAGAATCCCAGTTGGATGCATCGGAGGTGTGCGAACTTTGCCGTTCACAAGGCTTGACAACTCCATGTGATCCAGCAGGAGGATCAGAGGTAGATCTTCTGATGAGTGGATCTCCATGTCCACCATTCAGCACTCAGCGCACCAAGCGGTTTGCTGATGGGTCTGTGGTTAGCCATGATGCTTTCAAGGTCACCATGACAACTGTGCTTCTCGACACTTTTTGATTCTAGATTTTCTTTATGTTGTGTTTAGTCACCAGTCTTGAGTCTTGTTTATAGACTCCAAGGCTCCCAGTTTTCAGGTTCTCGGGTAGCCTCAGTTCTAGATTCTAGGTTGTAGGATTGTAGGTCGCGGCTCAAGATGCTTCATGGTTTTCTAGGCTTGGGCTCTACATCAAGCACGAGCCCAAGATTGGAATATTTGAGCAAGTCATGGGTTTCACAATGCCGGTTCAATCAGGCTCAGCTGAGACACCAAAGTCCAGGCAGGAACTGCTGGTGAGAGGTAAGTAAGGGGGGGGGCCCTGACTCTGACTTGGACACCTTTGGCTAGTGACACCTTTGGCTAGTGACAACTCGCGGTATCTAGTAATGTAACTAGCGGCTACTCACTACTCACTACTCGCATTGGTTTTGCAGGCTGCTGAAGTTGTTTGGCGAGCAGCAGTGGAAACATGGTGGCTACTGGGTTCTTTCCCGCACAGTCTGCTCTTCGAGATATGTGTCCATGTTGCGCACAAGGCGCCAGTGTGGGCAAGGGTGGAGCTCGGCGAGTTTCCGAACGTGCGGGCATTTGAGAGTCAGTAAGCCGGGTAATGAAAAGTGAATAGTGAACCGTTTCTCGCTTATATAGCAGCTTAGTAGCAATTTGAATAATTGGAAACTAGCAGACTAGCAGACTTGATGCACTAAATTAATATAACCCTTAGCTGTGTTTGGCTTCATCCGAGATTGTTCATCTGGTCAGGTTCCTTTTTTGCTCAAAAGGGTTGCAGCAGGGGTGTTTAAAACAGCCCATGCTGATGGATGGATGAGTTTGACGAACTAATCAATGATCCTGGTGCAAATGCATCTGATGAATGGGATGAATTGATTCTATCCGAGCCAACTAGTGAGCCGCATGCAAGAAATGAATCTGGTCAGCCTACTCTTGGTTCTGTTGACAGCCTGGTCGCCGCTACTAGTACTACTACTACTCAATGCTCCAGCCGCCCGAGTTCAGGCCTTGCAAGCATTGTGCGAAGGAAAGGGAAGGGAAAGGGTCGTGGTGGAGGCCGACCACGGGGTAGCAAAGTTTCTAGACCAATCTGGGAAAAACGCAAGACAGAAGCTCAAGAGGTGGTACCATTTGGGTCATTTGTCAGTGGAGCTGTTCCAGGGTCCATTGAGTATGCCAGACAAGCGCTCGCTAGGAAGCGGGCGGAGCGGGAGAACCTGAGCAAAACTCTGCCCAACAAAGTTACTCTTAGCCAGGAATGTCAGGACGAACTTTCTCAATATGGTCCAATCACTGATATGTTCATGATTGGGAGTGATTTGCACCAAGACTTCGTCAAATGCATCAGTTCTGCCACCAATGCAGACTACGATTCAGAGGATGCTTTACTCAAGCACATTCAAACAACACCTATGTCAACCATGAGTCTGAAAGCAGTGGAAGAGAAAACAAAGCAAACGCATGTTGGCCAAAAGATTTTGACAATTGCCGCTGCAATTCTCGAGCTGTCCTTCTACATGTGGGGTGTGTTTTTGTGCATTGTTGATCGCCTTTGCAAGAGCACATGCAAACCAATCCTTCTTCTGGTCAAGCTGAGATACGATGAGACTCCAACAAAAGTCAGAGTTGAAATCCCTGGCAAGAAAGATGTCCGGGCAGAAACTGCTGATGCTGAGGAGGTTTGCAAGTCGCTGCCCGTTCAGCAGTCCTCAAACCGTGCCAAAGTGTTTCAATCCGAGCTTTCTGTTGGCTGTCTGGTGAAATCATTGTCTGATGCAGACCCGATGCCTTACAAGTGGATATGTGGGACAGTGCCGACATCATTACAGTGTTTGCAAGATGGCAGTGGGGAGAGTATCAGATCATCACTGCGTGATATTGTTGGCCGAATCCCTGATTTGGATAGAGTCTCTCGATCATTTCCTATTGCTTTGAGGCACAGCTGCACTGACCGATACACCGGCAATTTCAAAGCAGAGTCTTTGCTCAACGAAGATTTCCCAGAGTTCACCAACGTACATTTCACTTGTTCAATTCACAAGTTGTACAGTGTGATTGAGGATGCAACAGGATGCATGGACTACGATGTGAGTGGCATCTTGAGCATTGGTGTTGGAATATCTTCCGACATTGGTTGCGTGAAAACAATGCACCAGATTGTCACTAGACTTTTGGTGAACCGCCTTGTTATTTATTACCAAGAGCCACCAGCACACGTTGCAGCATACCGGGAGCATTTGCTTGATCTGTTCATTCCCTTGAAGAAGGTTCAAGCTCCTGGGAAGCATCTCAGCAATCGCCAGGCCCTCCAAAGACGATATATACTCCGCTATTTTCTGAACGGTGACTGGTCCCAAAAGGAACTACAGCACTATTGTGCCTACAGTTGCTGCTCGCATCCAAGCAGCACTTACAAGTTCATGGCCACATTCGTCACATGGGCCCTTGTGCCCAGAAAATGCCCAAAATTTGCAAGGAGTAGACGGACCAACTGGATTGAGTCCATCGAGTGGTGTGGCCTTCTGGCAGGTGTGCACAACCTTTTGGAAGAGATCATTGCTACCTACACGGGTTCTCCTGACAATGCCAAACCGAAGGGCCAATCAGGCCAATCAGAAGATGCGGTGGTTGGAAGTGGTGAAGGGGAACTTGCGTTGGATGACTTTGATTTGATGGCCATGGACTTTGATTCTGCAAACATTGAATTTGCGGAGAATAGTTCTACAAAACAACAATGTGAAGGCAGCTCGGGTACAGAGTTGCCAGAGCTGCCAAACGTTTGTGCTGCTGAAAATCCAGAGGAAACCAACACATCGCCACAAGCTTTTGATTGGAAGGAATGGAATCGCAAGCAGCGTGGTAACGCACGAGAGTGGGTGAGCTCCCAACCTTTTCCTCGTCTCTTGCTTTTGAGGGAGGTCAGTGGTATTTTGATGCACTTGATGTATCGGTTCCTTGCTTTGGGAGGAACTCCATGGGAGAATCTGCAACAGTCAAAATCTTCAAACGGCTTGCAGCGTGAGTACGTGTTTGGAGAAGCAGCGATGGGCAAGGATGTGCAAAGGACAGTGCTCCAGTTACATGAACTGTTCACCACTCCAATCCCATGCCTGCCCAACAGCCTTGTCACGATTCAGCTGAAAGCCATGAGGTTTCGGATTATATCTTGTGCGCTATCCTCACTGCATACACTGCTCAGGCTCCCTAGGCAAACTTGCCCTTACAGCTTATTCAACATTCTTCAGGGCCACCCTGAGAAGTTGGCACAAATTCCCAGTTGCATGTGGGATTCCCTGACTCACCTCATTTGCACACGCTACGAGCCTTGGCAAGTGTGGCAAACCGTTGCTTCCTCTCAAGATCTCTCATGTACATATATTCCAATACTATTACTATAACTCTTTAGCGGTTACAGTAAACTTTAGCAATTTTAAGGGATTGGGCTAGTGACTAGTGACTATATAGTGGTTCTAGCGTCGCAGCGAGTGTTCTATTTTGGGTTGACATCTTTGAGTATGTTGTGCCAGCAGCATCGCGTTTCCAAAAAATATGTGTCGACATTGTTTTTCAATGTATCCGTTGAGCAGCATTCTTGTCCTAGCAACTCGGGCTCAGGTGTCAGTCGAAGCCCTCAAATCGGACGAGTGCTTAGCTGTAATCCAGGCCCTCTGTTTGGCTATCAGCGTGGACATCGGTGCCATTGAAGCAAAACATAGTTCCAACCGGGAGGTAACCATGATGAGAGCAAGGGGATGGTACCCATCGCTGCAAACATTGACAGCTGCCTTTGTCACTAAATGCTTCAGCGTGTTGAGTGGATTTCTTGGGTTGGCTGGTGATCTGCAGGAGAGCGTGAGTGGCACAAGCAAGGAGACAAAGCCCTCCAAGGAAAAGACACGTGGTGGTGGTGGAGGCGGATGGCGGGCTTTTGTCCATGAGAGGTCTGCCGGGGTTAGATTTGATGGACAAAGCACTTCTGAATTGGCTGCCCTGTGGGCAGAGCTGCCGGCTGAAGAGAAGGCTAGGTTTCAACGCGCAGGACAACTTGCAACACGAGCACATGCCGCTGGTTTCCAAGCGTTTGGTCCAAGACGCTGTTCTGCAAACCAGCACGCTGCTGTCCCAGAGCTCAGCATCGGAGATGTTACAAACTCTGGCGCTATCGTTGCAGCTGACCCAGCCAGCATGCTGGATTCAGCATTGACTTATGGTGGTCAGCAAACATTTGAAACCCGCTTTCAGCGTGCCAAGAAGGAAATAGCTAAGTTCTGTGCAGGTGTGACTGATCATGGAAGTGTTGATGCTGTTGATATGCCCAAGTTACTTTCAGACAAGGCATTGTCAACCAAGCTGACACAACAACAAGAGGAGCAACTTGCAAAGTTTCATCAAGAGGCAAATGCAGATGGGGTTGTACGGCTGCTTCAACAGGATCACAAGAATGTTGCAACAGGTTTCCAGCAAGTGTTCAAAGGGGTAGCCGACACGGAGGGCTTTGTTGGAATGTCCTGGACTCCACCACTCCACAGGGCTCTTCAGGCTGGACTCAAAAGTCATATGTATGTATGCCACGAGACTTGTATGTAGTATAGTAATATGGTAACATGCCTATAGGGCCTATACTATAGTAGTGATATGTATATCAATATATGCTATATATAAGATTTTCAAATGTTCCAGTTCCACCTCCATTATTACTACAGACCCTTGTTCGCTTGTCACTAGTCAATGGCGTAGTCGTAGTCCGCAGGCTTTATCTGTATAGTATGGTATAGATGTCTTGTTGCTTATTTATTTACCTATCTGGACCTATATCTTTCTCTTTATATCATCTTATCAGGGCAGGTGGGCAACCATATATTCAATGCATTCCACAAGTTGGTTCTTAGGTCACTACACTGCACGACCCTTTTGCGCAGGCGACCGTGTCCTCAGCAACAGCAAGATTGAGGCGGAACCTGGGTCTGACTAGGAAGCTTTTGGACGAGCTCAAGCGTTGGTGCGTACCAGATGAAGTCAAGCCTGTCCAGGCAAAGCAGGCAAAACAGTTCACCCCAAAGATTTGTGCACAGCTGGGTGTTTGTGTTTGCGGCGCCTACTCAGATAACATGTTCTTCTTCTTGAAGCTGAAACAATGGATGAGTCATGTCTTCTGGAAGAAGAGAAAGACCAAGGAGAAGTCATTTGAGCGAAAGCTCCTCGAGGAAGGGCTTGTCATTCTGCAGCTCTCGCCAGTGCCAGTGGCAACCGAGTCTACCACAGTTGGAACTGACGATCTTCCAGCAATTGATCTTCCTGCAGAATCTTTGCCTGTATTGCAGCAGCCTGTGTTCTTGCATGTTGGCGAGACAAACTTCAGCACTTGGCATTTTGGGGTGATGCTGCTTGACATGGTTGAACAATCCGTTGGCAGCAATGCTTCGCTTCTGGCCCCTACACTGACACTGACACCTGCGCAACCATCAGAGGATTCCAACAGAGATGCTCACCCTCGTTTGGGCATTTATAGCGATATGGAGGCTTTCAAGGAGCTTTTGGATCTGAATTTTTCCTGGTGCGTGAGCGTTTTGACCATCTCCTTTGTTGAAGCAGACTGGCCTCTCCCTCTCATTATCCAAGACCCCACAATACCAGTGAGGAAACGAGATGAGGTGACCGAGTTTGTTCTTTGGCATGGCTCCAGTCAAGAAGCAAAGGCTCGAAAGCTTGCTGCTGAAGCTGCTCAAGCAAGAAGAAAAAGGAAACTGACTCCCAAACAGTCTGGACAAAAGAACAAGAACGCAAAGATCGACCTGGACAAGCAAAGCCTGCAGTTGCTGACAGCAAAGACGTTGAGGCAGCCGCAGACGATAAGAATCAGTCAGACAATGAGGCTGAAGTTTTGGACTTCAATACAAATGCCCTCAGCGCCGTTGATGTTGCGTATGATGCTGCAGCTTACGATGGAGATGAAGACTCGAATGCTGAGGCTGTTGAGCAACTTTCAGCAGCAGAAGAGGCATTGGATTTGGAGGTGGAGGCAGTGGAGGCATTGGAATCTGCGGCAGCTGGTGTTGATGAAGCATCATCAGAGCCTGACAATGAGGCACCCAGTGAAGCAAGCTCCCATTCAGACGGTCTAGAGCGAGATGCACTTGAAGGAGGAGGAGATGCGCCTGAACCAGCACATGTGTCAGGCATGCAGGCAGATGCCGTTGAGCCACCTCCACCTCCAGTGCCAGATGAAGCGCCAAGACGCAACCCTGCTGGACCCAGAGCAGGGGGGGGAAAGAGACATGGACAGCAAGGAAATCATATCTATCGGTCGGTTTGGAGAACTGCGATACTACCCCCAGCATGGGCACATCACGGCTTTTTGCGACTTGAGATCTTCCTTTCATGCTCCTGACTGTCGACTCCAAAGAACTGTTCAACCAAAGAGTGATAGAGCGTCTGGACGTCCTATTGGGCTCCTTGTCGCCTGGCTCCAGCAATGTGGCAGCTATGACCATGCCACTGGACACAAACACGGTTGCAAACCAACCTTACAGGACAGAAGAAATGCCAGAGAATACTTCAACACGTTGCCAGGTGCTCAGGAGTTTTCCCAATATGAAAGGCCAGCGAGGCCTGGTGATCCAGAAGAACCCAACAGAGTGTGACAGGTGCAAGCAGCACATGCCGACCACTGAGAAAAAGAGAGCAGGGTGCTCTACAATCAGACTCCTTTTTGGACTTAGGCTTAACTCTATGAGAACCATAATATAGCACATATTTTTGTTCGGTGCAAGCGAACGCCAGCTTCAGAAACGATGCTTGCAGGTGCTACCTGATCTTTATGCGGAAGGATATCTATTCAATTGACTTTGTGCGGAGCTGCAAAGACCAGATTGAGGCCAGAAGCAGAACTGTGTGAAACAATTTAGTCACTAAGACCATATGCCATATGCCATATACAAGGTCAAGAAGTGAGCGAAGGACGAAGACTGATGACCAAGCCAATCAATTTGTGGCCTGCGGTTGCTATAGTATTTTATATATATATATATTGATGTTCATATGTTCCACAGTTTTAAATCAACTGGTTCACTTGGTCTGAACCTGAAACAGGACCTGGATAACTACATCATCAACAATGTGCCAGCGAAGGAGTTGCACAGCCTCTTACTTCCAGAAGGCGGCGCACTGCACAGGCAGCATCTAGCGCTTTTCTTGAACGCCAAGAAATCAGTATGCCGTGGTAAGGACAGTGGGGCACCAGTGGTTAACAAAGCGATTTGCTTGATACTTTGTAAGAGCACCTGAGACACACCGATAAAAAAATGATACTTTGTAAGAGCACCTGAGACATACTGATTAAAAAATGATAAAAAATGATAAAGGCAAATGATAAAAAAATGATAAAAAATGATAAAAAAATGATAAAACCACAATAAAATATCATTTTTTATCATTTTTTTAATCATTTTTTTATCAGTGTGTCTCAGGTGCTCTTACAAAGTATCATTTCTTTGTCACCCAGCCTAGCGGCTATAGGGGGCACGGCCAACCAGCATTTTCGTAGGGGGCTGGTCTTGCAACCAGCTGACTAGCTGTGATTAGCTGACTAGTGACTAGCTGACAAGTCCCAATCACAATCTACAAAAAAAAGGTTTAGATTCTTTTAGTAATATGTTAATTGTAATTAGAGCAAACCTCTTGATTCAATGGTGTGGATATAATGTTGTACGTTTCCAGGAGGCAGTGACATTCAAGCCGAGTGCTGCTGGCAAGTGGTCGGGGCAAATCCTCAACTGGAAGCAACAGCTTGGTGCAACTGGGGCTTTTGCTTCGCTGAAACCCTGGACATCTCAGCCAGGACTGAGGCTGACAGGCATATCAGCTACCACCCGAGTGAAAGCAATCCTGGACTGTGTGGCTTTGGATGTTTTAGGTGGAGCAACAGAAACCGCAGCTTTGATGGGGTCTGCAGGGCCAGCATTTCACTCCATCGTCAGAGAGAAACTGGCTGGAGTCATCGTTGACTTATCGCAGAACCCTTGCAGAAAGGCCTTTACCAATGCTTCAGGGATTGCCAAGTGTATGCTTACTAGCTCTATCTTGTATTCATACCAGCGTGATGGAGTGATTTTGCCTCTGGAGATGCTACTCATCCAGGGGCATTCGCCAACCATCCGAATTCCGCCAAGCATGATGCCTGATGAGATGCTGGAGCTCGCGACGATGGGTATAACGTTGCCAAACTTGGCAGCCCTGCTTCTTGCACTGTGTTTGCAGAGGGCGTTTTGATCATATCTAGATTCTAGATCTAGATCAACGACTAGACTAGACTAGACTAGTTGGTTTCAGAAGACTGGCTAGTCCTAGTCTTTGTAGTCAAGCCTTTTGAGCATGCACGCTCGTTTGCAACAAACGAGCTTCTGGATTCTGGCCAAAGGAAGTATATCATTGAGTAGATCAGTTGACTTGTGTGAAACCGTATATAACTATATATATATATATGTTTTGTACGATGTGATGCATTATCATTATAATGATGGCCATAAACATTAAAGTATGCACGCTTCCTTTTGGCAGGTCACCATAAAGGTGCCCACACCGACAGTCTGTGTGGCCATAGTTAGTTGAGTTTGTGCTTTACATTGCATTAAATTTGTTTGTTCACCCTATGCAAAGGACGTCGCTCGAATAACTGCATTTGGATCAGTGATGAAAAAAACAGCTGCTTAGTGGCGCCCTGATGGTCTTGTCTAACTTGTAATGGCAGCGAAGGCTCTCTGCATGTTGACAACAGTTCCCTGTTATTATGTTGTTTGTTTCTAGGTCAGTGGCAGAGCCACTAGCTAGTGGATGCAGGTCTTTGCAGATGTCAACTGTCATTCAGTGAACCTCAGTGTTTGTTCGCTTCGCTGTTTGCTTCTGCCTAGCTTGCCAGCGTTGTATCCCTTCGCAATTCGCACGTACCATGCCTCCCAAGTCACTGAAGAAGAGGGAGCAGGACTGGACCGTTTGGATTTGTTTCGCATTGTTTGCGCATTTGTCTTTTCATCTTTAGTTCAGACTGACTAGCCGCAGCTAGTGAAGCTAGTGATAGTGACTTTGAGTAGGACTAGCTGACTAAGTGTATGGAAGAGACTGAGTCAGTCAACTACTCTGAGATAGAGACGGATGGACAGACAAAAAGGCAAACATACGCGATATTGTTTGCACTATGGCACTATGGCATATGGGCCTGGTAATGTTACGATGATGCAACTGCTGGAAGGGTTGGTATAGATCTGAGATCGAACCTGACCTAGTTCTAGATTTGTAGTATACACGACAACCAACTATACTAATACCCATAGTATCATATATATATACACATAGACTGACCGACGCTCAGGAAGAGACATTGACATGCCTTGCTGAGCTTAACCAACATTCATTTGACAGTCATGTAAAGTAATGTCCGAACAGATGTAGACAAAAGCACGGGAGTAGAGTAGAGCAGAGATGGAAAAGTATTCAAACCTACTATCTACAATATTAATATTTATATTTACAGTAGATACTGTAGTACAGGTTCTCATCTCGAGGCAGTCAAGCACTGCTAGCTGCTAGTGAAAGCATTGTAGCAAATGTTTGTAGGAGTCAGGTTCGGATTGGGGTTTGGGTCAATGACAAATAAGATTATTGTTGTTAATTATAGTCAGAGTCAGGAGTCATGGTCGCGGTCCGCCTTTTGTTTGTCAGAGGATGGGCAAATTGTCCCCGCCGCATCGGCTGCACGATCTTCTGCTGCAACTATGGTGGTGGCCAAGAGGCAAAAGAAAGCTGACCATTGCGAATGTGGTTTTTGCAAACAATCTAGCAAGGACTGTTCTCGTGTCTTCGGTATGTTTTTTGGTGTTTATCTTGTGGCTAGCGGCTAGCGGTTACTGGCGGCTAGCATCTCAAGACGTCAGTCAATTTCAGTCAGTGAGTGGGGGCATGGGTTCAGGCCCATTCCGATGTCGCATGTCGCTTGTCTTGTAAAACAATCGCAGGATGCCAAATGGCATGAGTACAACGCTCATCAGCTTCCAGTTGGTCCGCTTTGCTACAGATGTGGAGATGGAGTTGGAAGGGTTCGCCCAGGAATGACAACTGAGCAAGCCATGTCTCTCAAGAATGATGCCGCCAAGCGCAAGGAAGAGGATCCTACATTTTTGACTGACGTTGCGACCGCAGTCAAGGTGATGGACGGTGTTGAGGAGCCATCCGTGAACCCCACCAGTTCAGTGTTTCAGGAGAAAGGTTACAAGTTTGAGATCTTTCAGGACTTTAGCGCAGTGACTGAAGCTGAGTACAAACACTACACCGGCTTGAAGCCTGACAAAAAGAATCTCACTCAGCTACCTGTGAAGAACCCTTCAGACAACACTACGCTGTACACGTTGGGCCTTGAGGGGCTAACAGAAGACCAGTTAGCCGCCATTCGCAAGGTGAGAATCTCATACACGGATGGGACCATCATGCAAACAAACTTGCTGCAGGCACAAGACAATGTGATCCAAGGGCAAGGCAAGCGAGTATTCAAGCATGTGGCTGACCATCAGCTTGAAAAAAGGCCAGCGTCTTGGCGGTTTTCCTCATGTCCTGAGAGCGTCAAGACTTTGAAGGAGAAGTGTCGAGTGGCCTACAACAACCAGAGAGAAGAAGGAGCAGATGCCCGGACTCAGCTTGAAGATTCTGATGCTGATGTTGGGGATGACTTTGACGACATGTTGTCGGACGAGGAAGAGCTTCCTGCTGCCCCAACTCGTCAGTCGGGAATCGCTCTGGGAGAGCTAGACGATGAAATCAAGGCAAGGCCAAAGAAGAAGGCTGCCAAGGGAGGCAAGGCCTCAGAGAATCAGAAGGCTACCTACAAGAGTTCTTCTGCTGCGGCTGCCGCATCTGCCCCAGACAAGGCGGATGAACGCAGCAATGCTGGTTCCAAAACCAAGGCCATAGATTCATTGGATGCTGAGATGAAGTTTGTGGCTGAAAAGCACTTGGCTACTGGCAGCGCGTCCAGTGTGAAGAGTTTGGCTGGCCTCAAGATTGAGCTTTTTCTTGCTGGAACATCTGATGGATCGGGCGAGAGGGCTCTTGCATCGCAGATTCGTGGCGTGCAAGCCTTAAAATCTTAGAATCTCCACAGCTGTTGACCGTTGAAGTCTAAAAAAGATTCAAGTTCATGATTGTATTGTATGGATTGAATTTATGCGGTTTGCTGAGAGGTTTGCACTTAATTCTGAGAGGTTTGCTGACTGGGATTCACAGTAGAACTGTGTGGTATGAGTGACATTGACTAAGACTATATGGCAAGACAGCAGGACATGGAGTGTGTTGAACGTCTGACAAACAAACCCTATTATAAATCATATATTACAGTACTGTAATATATTCTAAGTCTAAGCCTAAGCCGTCTAAGCACTATACTCATACTCAAAAACTACAATGTAACTACAACTATACTGCAGTATTGTTATACTGCGCTGAATAGAAGCAATGTTTCCGTATCAACGGACTCAAAACAGTCACTGCAGTCACTCTTATCTTCTGCAACATAGGCACAAGATCTCAATACAAACAATTGCGATGTTCAGTTCGCTGAGACGCTGAGCTGATATTCAAGGAAAATATACATAACACCTGATAGCCTGATAGCACATCATACAGTCACACATATAGTACATATATATACATGGATTGCAAGCGCAAATTGAAAGAGTTAACTTTAATAGAAAACATGTTTGCTCCAAATAAAGCAGCTGAAAACAAAAGCTAACCTGTAACGGGTTCAGACAGAGGCAAGGGTTTGTGGGATAATCAATAATGCTAGCTGCTGCTGGTCCGAGGGTTCATGTATCCAAGACATAATACTACTTACTAGTTACTAGTTACTACTAGCTAGTTGCTAGAATCTGCTAGAAACATCAGAATTCCCGTCACCAGCTCAGCGTAGTTAGAACGCATATATGACGCATATGGCATAATGCAAAATTGCATCAAGAGGAATACACATATTTGTGCTTGGTTTAAATTTCAATCTCGACATTCTGTTTAGACAAAGATCATTCAGCAGAGTTTGGGCAAGAGCAACCAGAATCAAGCCGCTCTCACATTGCAAGAGCGAATTGCTAGCTGTGAAGCAGGGTTGGCCTTACGGACAAAGCAGCTGCGAAGTTTTACTTCTGACTACCTGTCTACGCTGATCGTCTCTTTGAAGGATCACTGGAACGACTTCTCGTTTGAAATCAAAGCCAAGATCTGTGATGCAAAGAGCGATGTCATTCAGAGAGAGTTGGCGGAGTGCTTCATTGACGCCGGTGAGAACCTCGCTGAGAAGTTTGATAAGACTGACAAAGCTATCTCTGAGGGTATGCCGCAGCGCAAGCAGATCATGCAAGGCCGCTGAGTCTTTGTGTTTTTACATCTTTCTGGTCACTGGTCACTGGTTCATTCTTTTCACAATGTGTCAAGTCAAAACTATGAAGAAGTACTGAGTACTGTGTACTGACTTGACTAGAACCTTCTTTTCCTCTCCTTGCCCTCTTTGGTCTTAGGTCTTTTTTTGGTCAGGTCTTGGGTCCTAGAATTTGATAAGCTGCACTTATATACATTCAGACAATGTGACCGAGATGTACAATGTTTACAAAAAGAGTGAGTAAATCTTGCCTTGCCCTTGTGGTGTGGACACGGGGGTGCATAGAGCATGACAACATGTAGATTCGTACATTGTAATTTGTATTAATTGTAATTATTGTAATTTCAAATGTATGTTAGTTAGAGTTAGATTTGGTGAGGCCTGGCAAAGCATATCATTCTGACTGTGGACAACTTTGCCGACAATCCCACCTTCCATGCTGGGAAGCCATCCTTTGCGCAACTCTTTCATTTCTTCTTGATGGATTTCGACGAAGCTGTCACTGCTCAGGAGAAGCAAGGATCACTGACAGATGGAGACATTGATGGTTTTGGCTCCATCGAAGCAACGGTGAAGATGGCAAAGGCTTCTGATGGTGACACTACGGTTTTGACTCCTGCTTTGGCGCAATTGCGTGCACGGGCAGAGGCGTGGCCTTGTTGTGGAACGGAAAACAAGAAGGTGCATCATACGACATATATGACATATGATTGAAACAAACATATATATATAATGTAACAGGTAACAATGAACTCTTAATAGTATCTATTTGCTTTTTAGTTAATAACTAATACTATGATAGTTTTTGGATATTCTAGATTCCATATTAATATAGTATATATACAATATATATATATACAATAGACAAGCATCGAGAAACTTACAGAATAGTAACAGTAAGTAAGTCTACTGCAAGTACATGCAGAACAAAAGACTTGACATAACTTAAGTAACACATAAAGCTGAAAAAACACTATGATTAAGACCATGTCTGACTAAGACAGTGATGTCACAAGCAGTTTCTTTAGACATGGCAAAATTTAGAATCTGGAATCAAATCTGATTTAAACATGTTGATCTTTAACCGCTAAACTCACACTTACATACAGGTCACAGCTCATGCGTTGTACTCATATGCCCTGTGCAGCTATGGCAAGTCAATCAAACTTTCCTTGCCCCTCAGGCTTTTGGCACCTACTTGATTGATGCGATCAGCGACGATCCCTTCTTTCGAGAATTACAGCAAAGCATTGTCTCGCCAGAACCCATTGAGAGCTTCATTTTGGCATGGATGGAAGGGTTGACCAAGCTCTTCTCTAGCAGCAGTGGCTTGGAGAAGTTTGAATCACGGAAAGATGTGTGTGGGCCGCTCCATGATGCACTTGGCCGCATCAACCAAGTGTGCAGGTGCTTCGCTCATTTGCTTTGCCTGAATGATTTGCCAGAAGGAGTGGATTCGACAACAGATGATGATGTCTTCCACTTTGTGAACTTCAAGGGTCAGAATGTCTTCGAAGGTGCAATCAGGCGCATCCTCACGGATAGCACTAGTCGATGGAGCTCTGAAGTCAATGACTTGGTCAGCAAAGGCGGGTCAGGCGCACTTGCAGGCATGAAGATTTCCAGCCTCGAGAGCCTACTGCAGCAAGATAACCCAACGCCGTCTGCCTTGAGAGAAATGGTCACCAAGTTGCAAGATGTCCAGACTGCCATCCGCACTATGAAGCTCAAGAAAGTGAAGGAAACCTTTCTGGCCCGGTTCAAGAGTTTCTCAACCCAGGCCCGGAATGGAAGAGCTCCAACTTGGCTGAATTCTCTTGCCATTGATGCACTCTTGGATGGATTGGCTCTTGTTCATGACATGCCTGGTGCCACAAATGAGCGGAAGCAGCTGCAGTCATGGAGGACAAACCAGGTGAAAGACATTGCGAAAAACGACTTGGTCCATGTTCTGCAGATCCAAGAGAAGGACCGTGTCGACTTCCAATTGCTCAACACTTGCCTTGGCCACTGCTTCCCAGGCAAGGGCGACCATTTCGACAATGAGTTGACTGAGCATGTGTGGAAATTCATGCCGCAGGCTCTGAGGAAGCTGATGGAACTGGTACCTTGTCATCTCATGGTGTTAGTGATGATTGTGTCGTTGATTTGCCTATTTGTTTTTCTGAAGCAACGGTCGAATTCAATAGACTCATGACGGTGGCTAGACGGCAAGACAAACATATATATTATATAATATATACATACACCCAAACATAAATGCCTGTGCCTGTGTGGCCATACCGTACAATACAAGGCCTAATTATATAGATTATAGATGATGATTTTGATTAGATGATTACAGTAGATTCAGTAGATTATCAACCGTCATATCAGTTTGTGAAGGCACCATCAAGGGCAAAAAAATATATATATATAAAAGAGCAAGGCATTGTTTGCAAAAGGATCTATATATATATATAGGAATCTAAGGAATCTAGTTCAGACTGTGGAATGTAGACTGTAGACTCTAGCCTTCATTTAAATTCAAAGAAACCTTGACCCTCAAAAGTTCAAAATTGTCATGTCGTTTCCAACTTTGATACCCAAACAGAAGCTCAGGCGGTGCAAATGACTCCAGATCCCAGCAGTGTCAAAAGGATCTCATCTCTCATTGAAAACCTTTCATCGAAGCTGTGTGTGGATGACGTGAGCAGTGTGGTCACACAGTTTGTTGCATCCTGGATGAAGTGTGCTCCTCTGGCAATGAAGATCACTCAGGGCAACATCAAGGTTCGCGATGAGAAAGAAACCCTGCTTGACACTGATCCTTCACTTGCTTTGCTTCGTGCCATTAAATTGAGTCGTAGCAAGATGATGGAAGAAATTACTTGCATGGAATCCTTGGCAAATCACAAAGATGTGAAAGATCTTGCAAATGACCACCCGGTGCAGATACTTGTGCATATGGAGTTGCCAGAATCCCTGATTCGAGAGCTTTCAAGCGAACACTTTGATGAAGTCATCGACAACCAATGCAGCAAATACAAGATCAAGATGGAAGAGCTGGCCAAGAACACCTTGGAGCTATGCAAGGGCTACTCGAATGCTGGCCCCAACTGCTGGAAGGATAGTCTTTCTGGTAGTGACGTTGCCTTTGATGACCTCTACAAATTGGGAGAGAAGACCGTGATGCCTCTTCAGGGAAAAAGCATCAAGGAGAACACAACCAACTATGCCGAGGCAGGGCGTTGGTGGTAACCAGGTAGGGCTAGGACCGTCCGCGGTCTATTACTATAGTCTTTTTTCATTTTCATACAAGCCCTATTTCTTTTTGCCCTTCCCCTTACCTGCGAAAAGGGAGTGGAATGAGGAGGGAAGAGGGGAGGGACAAGGGCAGGGAAGGGAAGAAGGAAGAGTGAAAAAAGAAGGGAAGGGAAGGGAAGGGACGGGAAAGTAAGAGTAATGTAATGTAAGGGAAGGGAAGGGGGAAGGGTAAGGAAATGGGGAACAGGAAAGGGGGAAGGTGGAAGGGGGACCAGACAGGGTATGAGAGGAAAAGAGAGGAGTGAGGAAAGGGGACTTGCCCTCCACTGTTGCCTTTTAGTTCGAAAACCTTTAGACTTTTCAGTAACTTTAGAATCTAGAATCTAGACTCTAGATTCTCTAGATTGGACTGACTCGACTTTATTTCTTACTATAGTTTCCACACACCTGTTCCCACTGTGGATGCCAATCTCTCCTATCAATCAAACATGACACAACCATCTATATAGATGTGGATTGTAAATATGTTGTGTGTTGTTTGTGAGACTTTAGAGTCGAGTTCTTAATCAAAGCCCTTTGACTCTCACACTTGCAGGTGGTGAAGGCTGCAGAAGACTTTGTGGCTACTTTTTCAGCGCAGGTGTCAACGGACACTGCTGCGGATGGTATGAGCAAACTTCAGGAAGCCATGCGATCGTCTTTGCACGCCATGCAAGCTGCCAAGGTTCTTCTGATTGAAGTCTTCTTGATGAAGGCCATCAGGAACCACAACAACAACATCGCAGCCAGTGATGAGCAGGATGAGCAAAAGATTGAGAAGGCCACGAAGGGTCGCCAGGCGGCATTGGGGCTCATTCGCAGGGAGCGTGCTGACCTAAAAGCTGCCCACTGGAATCTTCAGGATGACATGGTTCATCCTGTGCTGATGACAATTTCAGCCTCACTGCTGGAGTCTTCGGCGCCTCCTGCTGCTGCTGAGGCTGAAGCTGAAACTCCACTGGTGGCAGTGAGCGGCAGGAAATAGGATCAGACTCGACTTTTGGTCACCAGTCAGTGAAGACTTCAGCTTCTGGGGGGCACTAGCAGCTGCTGAGCTGCTAACAACTAGCTGCTAACTGTTAACTGTTAACAGTTAGGTTTGTTATAGGTTAGTGTTGGTTTTATTGATAAATATATTCAAGTAGGTTGTTATCACTGTCTTTGGTTTTATGTTCTCACCACAGCGAGGTAGGTGGTAGTGGCTAGTGTTCAAGTGTTCGACGCCCTGTTTGTGGAAGGCACAGGAAGCTTTGCTGACAGTCTGAAAAGGAAGCATCCCGTTCCTGTCTGTGTGTTTGTGCTTGCTTGTTGCTGGAATTTCCTTGAAGCGGGTAATCTAGATTTCATGTTTTTTACTTCAGCTATTCGACTGATAAATTCCTCTAATTGGGTGCTTCCATCTACAATCCAGCTGATATGTCCTGTTTAAGGATGTGGACGTGGATCAGCAGCTACAGTCACCACTTAGACTGAAAGACTTCTTAGTCTTAGTGGGCTGAACTTGTCAAGTGACCGTGCGTTACTTGCTGAAAAAAGAAAGACACTTCTCCGGATTCAGCTTTGCAGGCGAGAGTTTTGGGACATCATAGATCTCACATGTTCATTCAAGTTCATGTCAAGAACTTTAACAACCTAGACGCAGGACGCAGGACATGGACATAGCACGTGTTTCCCGCTCAACCTTGATGCACAAACCACACTTTTGTTTATATCAAGACTGATAAACTAAGTGAAACATAAATGATAAACTAAGTAAATGCCCAAGATATGGTTTGATAAAAAAACGATAAACATATGATATATGGAAATGATAAATAAACTATAAACAAATGATAAAAAACCTATGGACTAAATTCCAGACTCTGGCTCCAACCCGATCTCTTAACCTTCCTGTCTACCCCTTGTGCAACGGCTTGCTGCCTCCCATCCGGGAGCTGAGAAAAACGGCCCAAACGCTGGCGCTAGTGGATCTGGTCGCCCTGCATCTTTGGCCCCAGAGCTGGAAGGAGCGTAGCCGCCGGGTTCCGCCGGGTTCCGGCGGGGTGGTGGGGCGATCGAGGCGAGCGGGTGTTGGTGCTGGCGGAGGTGGTTTTGGGGAGGAGTTTTGGTGGGAGAGAATGAGGTGATGAGAAAGTGAGTGGCTTCATGTAGAATCTTAATCTTGATGCATCAAAGCCATGAAGAGACATGGATTGCAATAGCTCTTCATAAATGGGGGTTTGATTGATCAACTGTCTGCATTTAGGGAAAGTCCCTCCATTCGGATCTCAAGTGTGGGATCTCTTCAATCGCAGCAACAGCGGTGGATCGGAGCTTTTCGTCCGCCCACGAAACACACCGATGGATCGGTTCAACTCGTCCGTGTGACTTGGCGCCGGGCGAACCAAGGCGAAGCTGAGAAGAAAGCAGCAACCGCAACCAGCTCGGTCATGCGTTTTTTCTCAAGACCGATCGCTCCCAGCCCACGCGCTCCGCTCCGACGTTCGGTTCCCGACCTGGACCATCCAGCGACGGCGCTTCGTGGTGTCCACGATGCTTCCTAACACCACTCAGTGATGGGGGTTGGAACACCCAGACAGAGTGCAAATCCTGGGGGGTTCTCCCACTCACGAGTACCACATGAGTGCCACGACATGGTGCACCACCATGGCACGAGCGGAGTTGAGTGTGGTTCCTCGCAGGAGGGGACGCCCCGCCCGAGCGATCAGTCAGTTGATCCACCCCCCCTGGGCCCGGGACATGCTGACCGGTCGTTAGGTGGTTAATCTGTTCGTAAGCCAGCCTATCAATGGGACTTGAACTTCAATCTGGGGGGATAGGGGTAACATGAAGTTAACATTAATTTGCAAAACACATACAAAAGAACAGATGAGTGAGACCACGAAGGCATGCAGCGGCATGCCAGAGTGCTTGGGGCACCCAGGGTCTTGAACCCGCGCTTCGTTCCGCGATGACCACCAGGGGTGGCTTGGGAGCCACAGTTCGCGTAGAACGGAACAAGTCATCACTAGTCTTCAGAATCGTTGCGACCCCTCATGGCTACGTTCGTAGCGTCCTTGTTCCGTTCGTAGCGATGGCCTCCAACCTAATTAATAGCGATGGCCTCCACCTAGTAGCGTCCTTCCTACTTGTTTTGGATGTTAAAATCAACGCCCACATCTCAGTTGTGAGACCGAAGAAGATACGACAAGAAGCTACTGGTAAGCTACGGGGCATCGCTACGCACGGAGCAAGGGACGCTACGAACGTAGCTCCTGGCCTTACTACTAGGAACAAGAAGCTACTAGGAACAAGTGCCACGCTAGTAGTAACAAGTGCCTTACTAGTATTAACAAGAAGCTACTAGGAACAAGAAGCTACCAGTCATGGGTTGAGCCGAACAAATCACCTGTCCAGGTGACTTCCGGCCGCCCCAGCCGCGGTGGGAGCACAAAACGGCCCGCCCGCCGTTGTCCGCAGACTCGACCGGTGGCCGGAAGTGATGCGTGGGCCCCCAGAGGGCCGGAAAGAGAGCTGAGCTTGGTGATGTTTAAGCTAAAGGTGTTGCACGGGGTGCCCTGTCTGGAAGCCTATAAGTAGTATGGGGTAGTCCAGCCAGGACACCCCTTGGATGGTCCTGGTATCTTGGAATGGTTTCTAAGGTCAGGGAGCGAAAATCGTTGGACCAAGAGACCTGGGGTGTGGAAATAGGGGCGGGAGGCGCCTGGATCGATTCTTCCTGTGGCTTCCCACCCGCCCTTCTGAAAGGCTTTGGGGTTCGGGTCACAGATTCCCCTGCGGAAGTCGGTGGAGGTGTTCGACGTTGGCCAAGAGGTCGGGTTCCAAGGATTCATTCTAACCTGGAACTCCAGTCCCAACCAGAAACAGTTCTGGACGTTCCAAGTTCTGGCGCCAGCGCCATAGATCCTTTACATAGCTAGTGGTTGGGACTGCGGGAACATCCATGAATTTCTGGTTGGGAGTTGGGACTGGATTTCCAGGAAAAAACGATACAAGGTGCCTTCGCCCTTTTCACAGGGTCTCCCGTCGGCCCAATAAAGCTCCGAGAAGATTTCCGGTTAGACGTGCCGTGCACTTGTCATTGTCAGGGTGCATCCGGAGTTCTTTTGTCTTTTGGATGGTCTCCTCCTGGTGCAAAAATATCGGATCATCTTGCTTCATCAGTGGGCTCTCTTGTCGCAACCAAAGAAAAACCAGGGCGACAGGTTGGGTTCATTCGACCAACGCACACATGCGAACTCGAACATGCAAAGTCCTCCGAAGGTCATATATTTGCTCCTGGCTGGTTCTGAAGATTCATCACACGCCTCCACTCCCTGCGATCATCATGATGGAAGTGGATCACATGGCTCCCTTTTGTCCGAATGATCATGAGTTTCCCCATATGAATTATAGGGTGTTGCCATCCATTTTCCATGATTTGAGGGTTAGTCATGGACCGGGGACCTTCCCCGTGACCTGCATGTTCAACGATTGCTCCGGGAAGCCACGTGGCTCCGCTCATCGAGTGACTTCACACCTGGGGGGCACCACATGAGACACCCTTGACACCCTCGACGGATGCGGAGGAGGCGGCCAGGAAACGGTACCCCTGGTACCCGCGTGGAACTGACAGCTGCAGGACTTCCGGTCTGTCTCGGAATGTCTTGAATAAGGACGTAAACCGCCTATGCCAACAACGAAGGCTTCGTGACACAAGGATGTTGCAGGTAGATGCAACATCTGTGGGTTGCAAGAGAATAGTAACCAGAGTTATCTTCAACTTCTGCAATGTCTGCAACATCCACAAATAACATCAAATAACAGTATCCACCCAGAATCCACCCATCTCCTTCTCCAAAGAGGTGACACGGCTTGTCTGAAACCAAAGAGTCCAAAGTAAAAGAACCCCTTGTCGACTCTGAACCCACGATGGGTGCTCGACACCACGAGTCGGCTTCCCCCCCACACAATACCGGCGTTTTTCTTCCAGGAGTTTCGACTGGATCCTCAAATCTCGGCATGAAATCATGGCATTTCATGTGGGGAGACCATGTGAGACCCGTTACTCAATCGATGAGGTTCTTTCAACATGATGTCATGAAACCATATGAAACCCTCCAAAAGAGACAATCCTGGATTCTGGATGATCAATGGTCCATGATGATCCTGGAATCCGTTTTTTTTTTTTTTAAGGGTCCTCTCATATCCAAGGTCGGAGGCCGTGCCGCTCGAGACTTTTGAGCCTCTCGGTTCCGCGGATCTCGGGGCGTCGTGCTCGGTTGAGACTCGGGAGTTGATGTGTTTTAAGTGATCCCCAAATAGATGCGTAGTGGCACAGTCACGGTTTCCACTCTCCAATCACCGTACCTCAGGTTCAGTATGTGGATCTATGTGGCCATGGATCCATGACATTTTTCGGGAGGGTCTATATAGATCCACAGATCATCCTATAGTTCTTGCAATATTTAGAATTGTTTCGACAAAAACACCATGTCAGCCTTGGTCCTAGACCCGGTGATGAACATGTATCTTGTGCGAGAGAGGTCTTAGTACAAAGCCGGTGAGGGACATCAAGAGGCGAAGAAGGGGCCGAAGGAGGCCGAAGGAGTCTGAAGTTCATAGCAAAGATGGTGGGGTGACCCTGGAAAACCCCGTCCCAACCAGGAAGGAAGTGGATGTTTCACGATGTTCCCAACATGTCCCAAGCACTTGCTATGTACAGGATCTATGGCGCTGGTGCCAGAACTTGAAACAACCAGAACTGTTTCTGGTTGGGACTTGGTTCCCAGCTATTGCCCCAAACACTGTGGTTAGGCACCAAGCCAGGCCTATTGTTGGGCTGCAAGAGGAACAAACAGTTTACTGTTGAGCTTCCACCAACATTGGAATTCCATTCATTGACGCAAGAACATCTTGCTGACACTGTTCGGTATTAGGACTCTTTTGTCTTTGTACCCTAAGAATCCGAATGGGCCCTCCATGGCAGTCGGACCCGACACCGAAAGGCAGGGGTCCGGACCCGAACCAAACCCTATGTGTTGCTTCGAGGCTGGATTCCTAGGGTGGTCCATTCGAAGACTCCGCTTGGAGTCGTCTCCAGTGGCCACGACCCTGACCCCATCGAGAAGCTCGACGCCCCCGATCTCTTCGGGTGCTAAGGCGTGCGCCTCCGCCAAGTGCAGCGCCGGGGAAGCTCCAGTGATGGGATTTGGGTGATGGACACCTGAAGCTTCCCTGAGAGGCAAAGACTACCAGGACCATCCTGGACATGGGTGTCCTGGCTGGACGAGTACTTGCACTGCTATCCGGGATCTCCAGCCAGGACACCCATGTCCAGGATGGTCCAGGTACTTAAAAGAAGATGTCTTTCAGAGTACCTGTTTTCGGGAACTTCCTGTGACTTCACTGGGGCCCCCCCAATCTCCTCCTTCGACTTCCAGCGAGTACCAGATTCACGGTCAATTCCCGTTCGTGCGACCGGGAGACGAGCGCCTCGGACTCGTGACCGGGGCGTCACATGTGTCCTTTGAGCCGTGGCACGGCATCGGTTGGTCGGGCGGCAAGGATCTCAAGCCTGGTGGTGCACCACGTGGAACCGTCCAACCCATCCCGGCTCACTCTGAGCTCTAGGGTTGGACTTGCCCTTACGGTCAAGGCGAGGTGGATCGCGTTTTCCGTAGCTGGCACGTTTGGACCTCCCATGACGGCGCCCGTTTGACGGATCGATCCGTCCAAGACACATGAAGACACATCTCTGGAGCATTCCAGACCTGGGTGTCCAGGACAGGACACCTCTAAGTGGTGGGCTGGGTAGTCCAGGACAACCCAGACTGGACGGTCCAGGTATGATTTCTTTTGGTTTTCCCTAAGAATCCGCCCATAGCAGGGGTCCGGACCTGAAGCACTCCATGGGACTGGTTCCAATCTGCCGCCGCAGACGCCCCCCCACCACCACCCCACGGCCGTGCCAGACGGGTCGCGTCTCTCTCGGCTCCGGTCCACCGACCTCTTGAGGTCGAGCTTCGCTTATCCCCCTGGCCGACCCGAGGAGTGGGAGACGTGGGGACGTGGGTGAGTCACTTTGAGCTGCGAAACAGATGCGAAAGAGTCACTTGACTCGAGAGTTTGGGTGGATTTCTGGTCATTTTTTCTTTTTTTTTTTGTGGCGTGCGACCAGTGCAGAGCGTACTTCGACCCATTTCGACCACGAAGATCTGGGGTCCATGAGGTGCCAGGTTGGAGTAGACGGGATACGCGTCGGTCCGGGTAGGGGTAGGCCGTGTGGTTCGGAACGCGCCCCGGCGATCGGTACCAGAGTGGTTGCCAGAGAGGGCAGGCACGACTTCGAGGCGGAGAGGCAACCAAGCAACCAAGCAACCAGGCACCTAAGGAGTCAGATGTGCCCTCCTTCAACTCTCAGCACAGTATAGTTATATATATATAAATATAGCTGTCAGGATCTGTATTAAGGCCTTTTTAAAGCTTAATACCTTTTTTTTTTTTCTGCCGATCTAGTTGGGTCCTTTTGGTGGATCCGTTGTGTTCTGAAAAGGCTCGCAGACCAGGCGCTTCGCCTAGACCAGCCCACAACCGGACGCTGACCGCGCCGTGGCGGTGCCGTTTCGCTGGTCCGGCCCACACCGCCCGACACAGCATCGGCTTCTGGTGGTCGTATGCGGATGGACAAGGGAACGATTTAAAGCGCACCAAGTTGGGTCACGTTGTTCATCTCACATGGGTGCCCTGTTATAAGTATTATTGTTCGATGTGCGGTTCGATGAATCCATGAATTCGTTTACAAGGGACAAGTCTGCAGGACACCCACAGGTTTGGGGGGTTGAACACCATGGTTTCCTGTAGATTTGTCCATAAACCCATTCATTGAATGAAAGACTATGATGGGCTGAGGACGGCTACTTCACGTGAGGTCCTGGTCGCACATTCTTCAGCACAGATCACCCAAGGTTCACTGAGTACAATTCCATAGCATTCCTCTTGACATCCTCTTAAGCTCCAACCCATCTCCCACGTTCCTTCCTCGTCACCTGTGCCAATTTGGGGGAAGGTCAACAAGACCGTCGCGGACGCGTCATTCCGTGGCACCGGTCCGTGCCGCCGGGAGAGCTTAGACGGATGGGCCATCCATCCGTCGAAAGACCGTCCGTTCTTCGCACCGGCTTGTGCGTGGAGTGGTGCAGCTTCTCCTCTGGCTCAGGAGGAGGAAGAGCGACGCCGGCGGCAGCAGGACCTGGCAGGTGATGAGGAGAGGTGGGAGATGGGGACGAAGCTTTGAGGAAAGTGTTTCCATCGTTGCCATTTTAGGATATATCGGTGTCGGGGCTGCATTGGGGCCACGTGACGGGGTTGTATGTCTTTGGTTACTACTGACTATCCAGAACATGGGAAGCTTGTTTCATTCTCTCTTGCTTGGACGTTTTGATTGCCCCCCATGACAGTCGCCATAAGGAGATCACAGACGCAAAAATGGGGGAGAAGCGGGAGCAAGGAAGAGCGCACAAGGAAAGAACTTTCGAACAATCCAAATTTCTCTGCTGAATCAATTTGTTTTGGGTGCTTTTCAACAGCAGACATAGGAGACACTTGCAATCCTCAACTAGCCAAAGACCGGAAAAGGATGGGCTCACCCCCCACGTTCGCTCTGTTCACTCCAAAGCTGAAGACCAATTCCCAAATGCATCGTCCTCGAAGCTTGGGAGTTTCTGCTCCAGTTCGCCCGTTTGGGGTGCATGCTGAAAGACCCCCATCCCCCCATCCCCCGTGAGGCCGATCCCACGGGTCCACTGGATCGACACCCGCGAACCCCCAAGGAGCTGGCGCGGCAACTGGCCGCTCAGCTACGGCTCACCTCTCCCGTGCCTTGCTGGCGTCAACGCCGGCTTTGGTCGGTTAGGCGGTCCACGCGGATAAAACGCAGTCCACGCGGTGTCTCTGGTGGTGTCTGACCCCTTCGGGTTCCGAGGTTTCCGCAGTTCCGCGAACCTCGGAGCCTAAGAGGTTCCGAGGTCTCCGACACCTCGACACGCTGAACTACGCCTGGTTTGGTCTGAGCCAGACACGCTTCGAACTGGTTCGTCGATCCTTTACGGTGGACAATCGAGTCGTCGCCGGATCGAAGAGGTCTTCAGGCTCAACCGGTAGTCAAGTCAAGGGCCGAGAAGTGGGCGACCAAAGCATTGGTCCAGGTTTCTTCTTCACTTGTCGGTTGTTATATATGTTGTTGTCGAAGTCTTCCATGACGTTCCCATACTTCAAACCACTTCAACTCTCGAGATTGCGGGTTGCGGGACGAGAGTAGCAGACAAGGGGTTATATCGATGTAATCGTCCTGGCTCTTGATTGAACTCCAATGAGATTCCATCTCTCACATGCTTCCGTTCCAACATGCTTCCGATGCTGCTTCTGAATCAACGCCACCAAGAAGCAAACATTTTGATGTTGGCATCGCACGGCCACATCCATCTACCTCCCGAGTTTTCTGAGTGGAGGTGCGATACCCGGGCCCACAGCTTGTTTTCTCCACCGCAGAAGGCCAAAGCCGCTCTATACTACTCCCTGAAATCATCATGGGCCTGGCCATGGATGGGATCGCATGGCTATGGATACCGTCCCTATGCTGCCTATGCATACATGATCACTCTTGCTGAGTACTACTGCAAGATTTGTGCAGTTGGGATGACCATGAACTATGAACATCCTCATACCACACCATGCGTATTTCTGGGAGTGTCTTTGTGGCTCCTAGCGCTCCTTTGGGGCAGGGAAGCGACCATGCGACTTGAAACAAGCATGCTCTCAGGCTGAGACCACGCCAGACACAGGCAGGGCCGTAAGGGGAAGGGGAAGCCAAGCAACATACCTAGACCTATAGATCTTCTAAGTGTGCGAAATTTCCGGCTTTTCATCTATCAAACCAGCCAAGTTAGACATTAGACAGATGTGTTATACATTATAATTATATAGTCGGAAGATCCAATTGCGTCTCCACTTCGTCACCCTGGGAGTCCATCTGACGAACGGTGACCCGTCGTTTGAAAAGGGCTGTCCTGAACGTTCGAACTGGCAGGGACGTCAGAAGGGACGTCAGAAGGAGTCGGAGTCAGCAACCCCATTCGTGTCGGTCCAGTCTGATCTGTCGGTCCACTTGGTCCTGAAAAACGAAAAGCGAGTCGTGTTTTCCTGTATGATCAACTCATATTGACTCCACTGAACATGAGGTGCGTTCCTGATCTATAGTGCCAGTCTGTGGGGGCACTTGAAGCTGCGAAGATCTTCAGACAGCTCAGATAGACCGCAGGTGGCTAAGGGAGGCGATCCAGAGACTTATGGGCGGGATGGATTTTGGGCCGCTTCACCCCACCGAGCTTTGGACGCCTTGGTTGGCTCGCTCGCGGAACCATCAACGACTGCCTGGGGGGGGGGGGGGGGGGGGGGGGGGGGGGGTGGACGCATCAATGGAAAAGAGCGTCACCCAGATGTGCTGTCCAGTCAGACTCTGTTTTGACGATGAATCCTTGAAGCTTGTTAGTCTACTGAGGGAGTAATTAACAACTCCCCGAAACGGCTCGATGGTCTTCCGATCCCAAAGCCAGTTGCTGGGAAAAAAGGACCTCCGCAGCTCCCAGTCGCCCTGCTTTTTGTGCAGAGGTCGGAATGGCACGCTGGCGCCGTGGATCGGACTCACCAGAACTGTTTCTGCTTGGGACATCTTGGGACGTCCAGATTCACCAGCGACGTCCAGGCGTGAAGAAACAGTAATAACCCGTGAATTCATGGTGTGTCCAAACCTGCAAGTCCGAGACCATTTTCTTTAATGGTTGATCTGGTCTTGTAATGTAAAATCCTTTAGTCAAACAATGTTTTTTTTTTATTCAGGCTATGAACTCGTCAATGGTGGTTCGAATTCCACTTCTATGGCAGGTTCAGGACCTTCAGTGGATTGGTTCAGACCGGTGGCTTTCTTTTTTTTGTTCGAAACGGTGAAGGGCCTCGGTCCCTCATAGCGATGGCCTCGGTCCCAGTCGTGACGACTGCTGCTCCGCTCCGCAGGGTTCGACGAGGAGAGACGACTGCTCCTTGGTCGCGTCGCTTCAGGTCGACCGTGCGAGCGGAACAGATGTTTGGGGAAAGCTTGGAATGTCACAATGCAATTCTCTAATTTTTTGGGAAGATATGGGAAGATATGGGAAGATATACATCGCGCGACTATATACATTGATGGCTGAAACCAGCGACTTTTTGACAGACACTCCATGGGACTGGAATCTATGCCAACATTGACCCCTGTTCAACCACCCAAGGTATATGATGTCAGTCCCATTTGTCGTGTTTGGATCTCACATCAGGGGCCAGGGTGTCGAGTCTAAGGTGTGTTGTTTGAACCCTAGGGGGTGGTGATTCTAGACACCCCAGTAGCCACCCCTCAGGGTCTCCTGGTATGGAGATCATGTACTGTAATGCAAGCTCTTGATCCATTTGGATTGAACAACCTCTTCATCTGGGGGGAGAACTTCATCAAGATCCTCCATTGGAGGGGTTGATGAATTAAGAGTCTACATGAACCATCTATGCTTTGGGGCATGACCCGATGCAGACCGACATCTCCCATGCCCCGTTCGCACGCGCCGCGGGGAACGCCATCGGCACGCCGAGAACACTTCATCGGACCAGCCGAGGGCCGGACTGAGAATCCCCGCCCCCCCAGGATCGGTTCAACCTGGCGTGCCCGTTCGGGTTCATGTTTCGGTCCTGGAGGCCTGCCGACTTCCCTGAAACCCGACTCCTGGCCACCTTCCGGGCGAGGCCACGGGTCGGCGACCGAAGCTTCGACACGGACACGTCGCGCGGCCGTGGCTTGGCTTGGACGAAGGGGGGGGCGACTGGAGCGACGACGGGGGACGAAGCAGTGTGCATTTTTTTTTGGGGGGTTGTCTTATGATGAATATGTCACGTCTTTGAAAGGAGTCTTCTTGGAGAGTGTGTTATATATATATATACCGTATATATATATACACATACATACTATAGGAGCATCCTGTCGGGGTGTCCTGGTTGGAGATCCCTGATTGATGTAGGGTAGTCTATTGGAGACCCCGAAAGGACCAGTATAGTTTCTATTTGGTTCGGGGCTGTCGATGAACAATTGGACTCGATTTGTGGATCTGTATCAGTGACCATTTTCTTTTGGCACAGAAGCTGTGACCAATGTTTTCCATCAGCCATGGTCTCAAGAACCTTCGATGAGGTCCAGAAACAAAACGCACTAACAGTCGGCGTACATGCGGCCTGCCACTGCCACATGCCATTGCCGCATGCCACGCATGCGCATGGCACAGTCTTCAGCGAATGGGTATCGCTTGAAGATATGGGGCCTCCAGTCAAATCACTTTGGTGCTTTCTGCGACCACACCCACATAGGAGGACCTCATTTGCGAACCCATACTTGCCGAAAAGACGTGCTTCCCCATCGTCGACCATCACCTATGCAGCATTATGCAGCCCAAGATGCAAGATGTTGTTGTTTGTTCCTTGTCCTGTGGGTTGTTTGCGGCGCACTGTGTCTTTTTCTGGAAGTTGTGATTTTATTCTTGGAGATTTTGCTCGGAGCTTTAGTTATATATATAATATACACATTCATGTTTTTCGTTCAAGTTTGGCCTTCAGAAGACACTGACAGCCCTATTTGTTTGCACGCGTTCTTGACTACAGGCCTTGAAAAGGAAGCACCTGGAGGCCATATTCTAGGTGGTAGTTTATGGTTTTCTTTTTTTCAACCCTTACTTTGGATGATTAAACATGATTAAGCCAACTGACTAATATTCTTCAAGTGAGTTGAAACCACGCACCTGCATTTTCTTTTTGTCATGGCCCTCTCTTGTAAAGCTATAAGTTCTGCTCAGGAAATGACCTGGATGGCGGAGAGCGGGTCGCTAGTTCCGGACTCAGCTCGGGGTTGGGCATTTGGGCGTTCAAAAGTGGTTTGGGGACACCTCAAAGAAGAAACATAAGAAACCTTGCGGTGTGGTTGGGGAGGAGCATCTACATCATTTGCACTTGCACTTCACTTCAGATGTTTGACATCTTACATAATGTTCGTGTAGAAAGAACTCAAGGCTATTTTTGGTAGCTTTGTACCCTGTGAGTATTCGCACTACTGAACACACGACGATGGATCCGGAGTTGGATCATCGCTGATTTTCCAATTCGACTCTCGCCACCGACCACGGTCTTTCACGCTCTGGTTGAAACGAATGCTGAAATCCAGCTGATCGCCTTCAAAGCAGTCTGACCAGTCCGTTAGTTGGGGGCCGGTCTTCAATTCCATTTGAACCCTTCGTTCCCACTGGAAGACGCGACGCGAAGCATGGACACTGTCCCGTAAGAACGACATGAGAAAGTGTGACAAAGGTTTCAGCATGACGTGAATCCTATTGAAGAGGACATCATGTGGGTCGCTACATTCATTGAAATATGTCTTTCGCTCCGTAGCGCCTGGATGCGCCTGGTGGACCCAGTTAGATTCCCTGATCGACCCGAAAACTCTGCTCGGCCGACCTGTCCCGAAGCAGTTCACCCAGGTGACCAGTGGAGGGCCAGGAAAGAGGTCGAAAAGAACACATATCACCTAGCAGGAAACCTGAGACGCCCTGGGCTTTGTCTCCCTACCAACGCCTGACACCCTCACCGCTGGAATTCGATTCGACTTGCTTTTGCATAGGTGTTTGATGCTGTTTGATGGTCTTCACTAGTATGGGCACCACACAAACGATGCGTGGACGTGGACTGTACAGCTGAGTTTGCAGATCCTCCATCAGCTTGCCTCGTTCGAGGTTTTCCTCGGGCTTCTACCCGTTTCGAGTAGTAACCTGGAAGTCGGGTACCTTCAAACGATTTAGATGCCCTTAGTGCTTGGGTACCTTTCAAAGAGGGGGATGGGCCGGGATGGGATCGGTGGAGGATCGCCTGTATGCTCCGGTGGCTTGTGAAGACCCCCAGGGCAGCAAGAGACGCCCTCCAAGCTATAAGCTGCTCATTGTTTTTTTTGGGGGGGGATGGATTACAAAGCAACGAAAACACACCAAGACGACATGTATTGAAACACATTTTGTGGATTGCAAGTTACAATGGATTACAACCAACAAACATGCGCATCACTGTTGTTTGGATGGCAATGGAACACAACCACCCCAGTGTAACCAGGATTTTTCGAATGTTCGAGCAGGTAGCCTGGTGGAGCGCTCAGGTGTCGAGTACCATGCAATGGACTCGGACACGGAGGACGCCTTCTATGCCGAGCCACCCCGAGACGCTTGGCCGATGGGATCAGCGGCTGAAAGACGGGAACATCCGCAGGGATTGGATGGACCCCCCGGAAATTTTTACCTGAAATCCAGCGGTGATTTCCAGGTTTTTTTTGGGGTAGAAAAGAAAGATCAAGTGAACTCATATGACATCATGTATTGCCACTTTTGTGAGTAACCTCTGGGGGTTTCATGAGGAGTAGATCTTTGGACAGCCAACGGGTTTCCTTTGTTTGCTTGTCTTTCAATTTCCAATTCTTGTCTGAAACCTTTTGGAACGTGAATGCCGTCGTTGGGGCTGGTCATGACCGCAACCGCAAATGGAACATGTGGTAAATCTTCAAACCAGCCAGAGAGTACAGAACAGACAAATCATGAATGACAACTAACAATCTGGGGTCAATGGCGGCGTAATAAGGGCAAACTATCACAATATTGAAGGCGAGAATTTGGAATACTCATCAAACCTGTGAGAGGGGGTACGAATGTTTGTGCGAACAGAAAAGCAAATCTGAAACAAGGGTGCCCAACCTTAGAAGCAACCACCGCGCACAGAACGTCACGCGAACTCACTGTGTATCTCCACAATTCTCTGTCTTCGCGGAGGCGACGGGCTATCACCACATTTTGTGCAATGTCTTGGTGAACTTCTTTCGGGTGTCCTGGCAGCTGCTAGGGTGGAGGCCATCACTAGTTGGAGGCCACAAACGGGTGTGCTCACGGGGACCAAACGGAGCCGCATAGGCCTGGCAAGGTGGAGCCACACAAGATGTGGATGACGACCGGACCTTGGTTGACCCCCGATGGTGGGAACGGCTTCCTCTATGTGACAACCTGTCAACTTACCATGGTTTGGTGCCATGACGAAACCAGCCACATATGGTCCAATTGGTGCTGGGTGCCAGGAGTTCTCACAGGGATCTGATGTGAGGATTTCTCTGCACCTTTTTTGGTGCAGCATCGCAGGGCTTGGTCTCCTGGTACTGTATGGACTCAAATTATTTCTCAAGTAGGGATTTGTTGGATGGTCCTGGTCTGGGTTTGGAAAGATATACAGGAGTGAGGTTGAGAGTACACAATATGCCAAAAGGTGATTATATGGACCCTTATCTAAAAGAGATCCTGGGGTGCCAGTGCCATGTGCTTTGAAGCCACGATCTTTGAGCCGTTTCAACTGTGGATTACAAAGGACAGAAACGGCATCGGGCCATGTTTTTCAAGGAGGGAGCTACCATGTGCATATTGTATGTGTGTATAGCTGGGTGGTGGGCGCCCCCACTACCCTCCAGTGAGTTTGGAGTATAGACAAGGGTCAGGATCCCCACCAAACTTGGCCACAGGATGCTTGGGGGCTGGGCTTGGCACTTGGGGATCCTAATGACTCAAATCAAGGACCCATATGGGGAACACCTGGAGCTTGAGGATGCCCTCAATCGTCTCACTGTTTCCCATACGTAGGCCGAAACGCCTCCGAATGTAGGAACATAGGAACAGTTTTACAAGAACATTGGTGGGGTTTGACGGCTTGAGGGGCCAACTTCGCCGACCGCACCCCTGCAAGAAGCGAGTCGCAACATCTATAGACTCATTCATTAGATTCATTAGAACTTGTAGAGTACTCGTATACCTGGATCTTCCGACAGTACAACATGTCTGCCTTTGGCCGTTTTCTTTTTTAGATGGCTGGTATTAATGACCATGTCCACTCTCTCGACATCGGAGAGACCCCCATCGGACTTCTCCCATCCGAGGCGGGGCCTTGGGGCTCGAAGCCACAGACGGTGTCGTTCAGATAGCCGAGTCCCGGCTTGGCACAGCGAGCCGGTTTGGCTTCGACACCGCGACCAGCGAGGTCCACAGATCCAACACATCGCACGCGAACGCCGCGCACGCGCCCACGCACACACGTACGCGGACGCGGACGTCGAAGAGCGAGCCGATGCCCTGAGATTGGGGGCCCACCGATTGGTTTTGGGCCTCGTTTTCTCCCGAATCAACCATGGTTTGAGGATTTTTTACACTACAAGAACAGGGCGGTCGCCGTTTTAAAGATGGTCCTTGTGTCCTAATCGTCGAAACAATGGTCAATGGTCGTTGATATCCGAGGCCCTTCAACCGGCCACCAATCGCAGGAGATCGGGGTCCAGACCCTTTTTTCATGCGAACCGAGACACCCACGTCGTGTGAAAATGGAAGTCCCACGTGCCTATGAGTCTGGGCCCGAATCAACAAAGGGGGACAACGTGGATCTGCAAACTCAGCTGTAAAAGTCATATGGGTGAAGACCATCAAAAACCATCACACACCTCTGCAATGCAGCATGTCCAGCGGGCGTCGAACGCTGTTGGGGAGACCAATTCCAGGCCGTGTCAGGTTCCTTGAAGGGTCCATCTCATTCACCTGGGAATGTGAAAAGACCCTCAAGCCAAGTATCGCAGGAACCTCAAGGTATAGAAATGGACTTCTAGGTGGTGGTTTTCGATATTCTTATTTTCAACCTTTACTTTGGATGATTGAAGCAACAATATTCTTCAAGTGAGTTGCAACATTTTGAAGCCACCAACCAGACTTATTAACACAGGTGATTGGACAAGAGATCCTCCAAGAATCCAAATGCCCCTCACCTGGAAGAAAAGCGATGCACACACACACACAGGAGCCAGCTGAAGAGACAAGCCGGCCCAAATCAGAGACACAACGCATTCAGTGACAACTTCAAAGAAACAACAACTACTCCCGAACAAATTTGTTCAGTTTTGTTGCATTCACTTCTTTTGTTGGACTTGTTTCCACATTGGCATCGGAGCTTCTTCAGGTCTCGGGATGGACTTGAGCAACTCTTGTCAACTCGAAGTTCTTGACTCGAAAAAACACCGAAGGCATTTGGTATAGGTGACCTCCCAGTTGCACCGGACGAAGGGAAACAGGGCCAGGAGGTCTGAAATGTGAGTTCGGCCGGTGACGTGCCTCCACCAGGTGACGTATAGCTGTTACGTGAGACTTTCGAGGATTCGGTTCAATCGATTTAAGGTCCCAGAGCTACGATACAAAAGTCATCGTCAGGTATAGATGGGATGTAATATGAACATATATATCACACACACACACCTACAGTGACTGCATTGAACCATATGTGCTTCTCCGAGCGCGTTTTTTGCGCGTCCGACGAGCACACACGTTGCCACTCCTGGCAAGCCAGCCGTGCCAAGCTGGAAGAGCTGTTTACACGTCTCGCTGATGCAACGACGGTTGCAGACCGTGTTCGGGCGTCGGTTCCGAGTCACTCACACGCAAAGGCGATTGCAGACCCAAAGCTTCCCCCTGATTTTTTACATGCATGTCAATGTCTCTTGCGTGCTTCGGGCGCCAGTCGCGTGACTTGTTCGGAACCGATGTCAGATGGCCAAGTGGCCAAAAGCGAGGAGACCCGGGCAGAAGACCGCGCGATGGGTGGGCGCAATTTTCGGCTTGGAAAAGCAGGGTGAGTGGCACTCCAAGCCAACCTTGTAGAAAAATGTGGAAGGACTTCAGTTCAGCCAAACATATTCGCATTTGCTTTTGGTAGAGGCCACGATTGGTCCTGCCCAAAATTCTTAAAGATTGGGCCTCTCCACCCATATTTAAAATGACGCATCCCCAACTTCGACGCAGCCTGCTTTCAGTAGCCCAAGCTTAGCATGCGCCCAACTGCACGCGGAGCACGTGTGTCTCGGTTTCCGCGGCCCTGCAGACGCCCTGCGGACGCTGCGGGACGGCTGACCTCGCGGCTGAGCCGTGCAGATTTGGAATGAAAAAAGAAAGCCGATTCTGGCCTTTCTCCGGTCGTGCGCGCGCGGAGGGCGTTTGGTCTTCGCCGGGTTGCTGAAGGGAGCGAAGACCGAACTTGGGAGCGAAGGGCCCTGGATTGGTGCACAGTGTGGATTGGAAGAGGGTGCCCTGGCAGACGCTCAAGGCCGGGCCAAGGGGGGGCATGACCATCTTCCGCTTCCTACCACGATCGGTCCACTCGTTTTGTTCCCACGATCCCAAGTGATTGACTCATGGGATTTTAGCTGTTTTCCATGTGGCCATGTCCCTCCGGGCAATTTGGTGCACCTCCCAGAGAGAGCCTGCCGGCTGCTGACAAAGTCCAGACACCCAGGCCATGATGCCAAGTCAGCTTCTCATAGTGGCCAGGTGTGATCTCATGTTCGTCATTGTTGACTTTTTGTCAACGTGAAACATCGTGAAACACCAGGTTCCTCGACCGAAATCCAGTTCCCCTTTCTACCGGCCACGACGGCTTGGGGCTGAAAAACCCAGGTCCCGGCGATGGCCTCCGAGTGGATGGAATGGAAGTGATGCCGGTCGGTCTCCGGCGTGGGTGGAGGCCGGCGTCCATACCGAAGGCGTTCGGTGCTTTGGGGGCAAGGCTTTGATATACCGAAGGCCTCTCAGATCCAGACTTTGCTTCTCCAGACTTCTATAGGTGTGCAGGGGATCCACTTTGACCCCTCCTTGGGGTCCTACTTGGATCGTCTTCAGGGCGATCCACTCACCATGTGAAACCGTTTCGAACTCGGGGAGACAAGAGCTTGACCCCAGCCATCCGCAGCAGCTTCGAGAAGATGAAAGCTCGCTGCCAAAAAGATGAGCTGAGGCTTGCACACACACACACACACACATTCTTCCATTGATCTCTATATAACAAGAAGACCCTCACCAACAATGAGCAGCTTGGGGGCAGCCTGACCTTGGTGGCCCTGAGCGAGATCTACTCACATGCCAAGTGATGAAGACCAAAGAACTCAGTGCGCTGTTTTTGCTTGCTTGCTTGCTTGCTTGGTGTGTGTGTGTGTGTGTTACATACCAAGACCCTTGTACTCCCTGGAGTTCCTCATGGGACACCCCACCTGGATGTTCCAGGTGGATCGTTCGCTTCTCCGTGATTCGGGGGGTGGGACGTCCAAGCCTTCGAAGCTCAACGAAGTCCAAGCCTTCGAAGTCCTGACGAACGCTGCAACTCCGAGGTGCTCCGAGGTCTTTCGCTATCAATTCTGGGCTTTGAAAGCAGATTAGATCGAGCACGTAGACCCCGGGTGGGACCAAACGCGGCAGCCGCTGAACCACAGCCACCAGCATGAAACAGCATGAGGTACCTCAGTGTTGAAAACGGTGGCTGAAGACAAGTTCAGACATGGATTCTTCCGTGTCTCCATTTTTTGGTGACGAAGAGAAGCACAACTGTTCTAGTGACACCATCTAGTTTGCGGGGAGCCATTGTCGGACAGATGCTTCATCGATCTTGTGCATGAACAAGCTACTAGTAGCGTCCACAGGCTCACCTTTCGTGACCTCGGTCACTCCGCGAGTCGCCCGCACGGCATGAACGGGGCGGTTGGTCCGCGCGCGCATGGCCTAGACGAAGCGATGGATTCTTTGGAAGAGGCCGGCGGGCGCGAGCGGGGCAGACGGGCATCTTAGAGCCGATCTTTTCAAGAACTCGGGAATCTCACCGGGGAATCTCATTTTAGTCTATATCAGATTGGAAGGTGTTGATGAATAACGTGAATAACCTCCCGGATATAGGGAGATGTACAACTATTCTGAATTTTGATTCTTAATTCATCGACCATCTACGTGAGTCAGTGCTCTAAATGGGATGAAGAACTCAGCTCAGCTGGCAGAAAAAAGGGACGTTCTTCATTTCACACCCGTGAGATCCAGGGTCTGTGTCCCGCGATTTTGCAAAACACAAGGTGCCGAACAGTTGGCGTCCGAACTGTCCGCCAATGTTGAACGTCCCACCGTCGCTGAGCACAGCGCTCCAAGCGCGGACGTAAGGTCGACGCCACTCCTTTCCTTCGCCATTTGGGTGCCTTGTTACTAGTAACAAGAAGCTACTGTACTAGGTGGAGGGCCCTTGCTATTAGGTTGGAGGCCATCGCTAGTAGGTTGGAGGCCAACTATGAGTAACAAGAAGTAGGCTTCGCAATGTGGAAAGCACGAGTTGCCAGAATCAGATTCTGAAGGATCGGAGTCATCGTGCTCGTGCGCTGCTGGCCGGATGTTTTCTTGTTCGAGATCCATCAATATATACACATCCCTGGGAGTCAAAGACAGCAACATGGTCTGACGAACGGTGATTCGAGGCGTCATGGAATTTCCTTTACTTCAGTCGGTCAAAATATGGTCGAACTGGACTTCTAGTCGGGTACCAGTTTAGGGTTTCTTCCGATGTCGCGGTTCAAGGCCAACTTGATTGGTGACGATAGATCAGTCGTGTGGAAGGACAGATCGCTCTTCGTGGTCAGAGGATGTGTCCATCCAAAGAGCTCGATGGACCGAGGAGAGAGTCTTAGCGGAGATGGACCGATGGACCTTTACATCCCGTGAAGACTTGGGATTGGTTTCGCAGGAAGTACATGGATCACCTGCAGGTTACCTGGATTGGGATTTTTGTTGGGGGGTATTGGGGACGCCCCACTCAATGAACCATTGAAATCAAGCTCTGATAGGAGCGAAAAGGAAACTCCACGATGTACCCCAGCCTTCCGTTCGACCACGCTCAATAATGGGAACAGCGTGGGATTGTAGGGTAAAGTCCGTAATTGAACCATGGTTGTGCGGAAAAGCCAATTAATGATGGTGGTTGGACAAGAAGTGTGCCAAATATCGTCAACCTGGACTTCTATACCCTTTGCCAAACTCCGGCCACCGGCCACCTTCCACATCCACAGGTCCTCAAGCAACAGCATGTGGAGATGCTGCACTTGGTGGAAGGCCCTGGGTGACCTGTCTCTGGGTGCTGAGTTCGGAAAAAAACACCACCCAGAGACTCCAGGGGACTGGAAGAGTTGGGATACCAGGATCGTGGATAGAAGTGTAGGGTAGTCCATTGGAAACCCGGAAGGGCTGGACCATCCGACCTATCTGGGTGTCCTGGATGGACTACCCAGCCCACTACCTAAGGATCTTCAGCCACACCCAGGTCCAGGATGGTGCAGGTCTGCAACTATTCCATTCCAGTCGCATGGAATGTCGCTTGCGGCGCCTCAGTTGCGTGTCGTTTAGGGGGTGGTTCAGTTACGGCGCGGCCCGGCCAGTGTGCCCAATTCACTGGGCGGGGCCCTCCCTCGTTGAGGAAAATCGGGATTCCGGGACTCTCAAACGATGCTACTAGGAGCCAAGGGCATCGCTACTAAGAGCAAGGACGCTACGTTCGGGGCTCCTGGCCTTAGGAGCAAGACGCTACTATAGTTGGGTCGAATTCACACCGATGGGACCATTCTGGACCTGGCTCGAGCCGGGAAGCCAGTCTCTCCACGGCTTGATGAAAAAACATATGTCAAACCCACAGGCAAGTTCGAGGACTTTGGTGAGCTTTGAGACCCTGGGTCTGATTGCTGGACGCCCCGGTTTTGCGGGTTGGATGGAACATTGAGTGAAGACAAAACCAAGCAGGGCCCTGTCACTGTCGCGGTGTGTTAGATACCTAGTGGTGTAGACTTAGTCGGAGATCCGGATGGTTCCACTCTCTGGAACTCCTTGAATTCTTGGGGGGGGTCCGGTTGAAGAGAGCCACTCCTCTTTGGGGTCCGGGATTGTCCGGTTCGTCAGCTCCAGCTCCAACGCAGTGGGGCTTTGCCAGGTTGGTTCCAGCGCCTGGAACGAATGCTGCAGGCGCCGCCTTGCGCGCCGCGCGCGCTGCGGAGCAGAGTGGAGCTGGTGTTTTCAAGCGCACGTTGAGTTGAACTTTGATGTCCCCAGTGCTTGGGGTGCCATGTCCTGGTCCTGCTTCGGAAGTATGGCATACGGTAGAAGAACAGACCAAAAACATCCATGGGCAGGTTGACAGCCGTGTGACTGAGAAAAATCCATTTGTTCAGCCATGGTTCGGAGGGCGAGCGAGTTCCAGCCGTGTCTCGGGATGCCATGATGAGAGACATCCAGCTTCTTCGGATCCGATTCCACCGGCCATTCACCTGAGGCGATGGCCTGGATCACTCAGATGGTTTGGGCGGTCAGGTTTTCTTTCCATTCGAATCACCGACGCCTCACCCGAATCACCGACGACTGATGTGGTCAGAGGTGGGGATGTACGAGGAGAGTCTGGGTGTCGACGGGTGCATCGCTACTAGTAAGAAGGGCATTACTACTAGTAGCATCTAGTAGCAAGAAGCTACTAGACGCTGTGAACCGAGCCTTTGGGGTGGTCACTTAGATCCTCCATCTGGGCGGGGGTCTGGGATTCTGAAAGATGAGCAATGGACAACATCCATGACCTATTGAGCACGTCATTGGACTCTTGGGCGGTTCTTTTTTTCTCATCTCCAATTGCTTAAGTCGAGGGACTCGGCGCCTTCTACAGAAGCAGAATTTCGGTCATCATCACCGCTTTTTGCCAGAAAACGGTCCAGCTCCATCAACAACTACGTCACCTCACAGCACGAATGAGAGACATCTTATACTTTGGAACTGAGCTTGCTGATCAGTTCTTAAAAATACTCCAGCATTCCCCAAAGGGTGGTTATTGGAAGGAACTATATAGTCAGGGGTGTCTGTAAACCACCCTTTCCGTGCTGGATTAAACCGTGCCATTTCTCCTCTCAAATCCCCGCTAGTAGGTAGGAGGCCATCGCTAGTGGGCTGGAGGCCATCGCTAGTAGCCCCTTGAAACGCGGAATGCGCCACCATCCATTTTCTGGGCGAGGCGAAGACTCCGAGCCCGTCGTTCCCCACACAGATGCCGTTTGAGCTTACACAAATCAGCGAGGCGCCTCTTCGCATTTTTTTTTGCCTGGAAGTCCAAGACCACTTGCTACGAACGGAGCGATCGGACGCTACGAACGGGGCTCCTGGCCTTTCTACTAGGAGCAAGAAGCTACGAACGGAGCAAGGACGCTACTAGGGTCCCGCTTAAGGGTTGATCTCGAATCCATGTTGAGTAGACCTTTTCATGGTGCTTCGAATCCCTGTCGCGGGTCCACGGCGTTTTTGGTATGGGGGGGGCCGAGTAGACTGGATTCTCGCCGAAATCGGCGCCTCATGCATGATCATTTGTTTGGGAAGAACACAGCCGAAGTTCTCAGGCGAAAGCAAGGTGAGTATAGGTGAGTTGAGTGTTCAATCCAAGAGTCACAAATGGGTGCCTGTTGAAGGATAGGGGTGCCATTATCCACTCACTTAGGGACTAAACACAACCCCTTTTGACCCCTGGATTATTTAATGTCTCCTTAGGACTCAGCAATGGGCATGGGACTTTTTTTGGCAGACTCGAAACGAAAAACATGAACATGTTAGCAGCAAAAAGATTTCGCGGGGTCTACATCAACCATGGTTCAATTTACATGCTAGCATGTCTTAAATGGGTTTGGAGGCTATCACTTCTAGTTTGGAGGCTATCGCTCTTAGGTTGGAGGCCATCACTTGGGGGTTTGGAGGCCATCGCTATTATGGACCCTTTCTCTTGGGCACCAAGGGGGGTGGATGCCGACCTGCGGCCTGTCCTCGGACGTACGTCGGGCGACGAGCCATCGCGCCGTAGAGATCCTTTAGAGGAAGTGACGGCAGCACTTGGGAGTTCCATCCGGAACTGTTTCTGGGTGGGATGTTTCTTGTTTTTTTTAGCATGGTTTTTTTAGTTTTGTTTTTATAGATCCCTTTTCTGTGGGGGGTGTTCGACAACCAGTGCTTGGGCTGACGCATGCACCGATCTTTTTTCCGACGCAGTTCTCAACGCAGTTTTCAACAGTGGTCCCTATATACTTTGCCGAATCGCCACGGTGATGGATTTCAATGGATATATGCGTTGGACAGTTTTGTTTCTTTTATTTTAACCTTGGATCCCCAAAGATAAATTATCCTAGGATTATTTGGTACACCTTCCACACTGACACCCTGGCTCACCGGTGTTTCTAGACTGCCAGCAAAAACACCTTGAAAGCAGAGGGGGGATACATTCCGCACACGACCTTTTCTGAAGGGAAAAGAAGGAACCACGCCTAGAGACTTGGGACTGGCGTTACATGGAGTTGTTAGTGTGTGTGTGTGTGTGTTTTTTTTTTAAACTACTGGGAGTCCAAGACCCAAAATTGAGTTGACGCATCCTTAACATTGGTTGTTGGATGCGAGCCATGACTATATAGTCGATGGTGGCTGGAAGATAACTTCTTTTTAATAGATGGAGTGTTTGGTGCCGCATCGCGCGAGCCTCGCGGCATCGTGCATCGCGGCGTCCCGGCCGAAGCATCCGGCGCAGGGGACGATGTCCTCGCCGATCGTGAGTCTGAGTCTGGAAAAGAAGGAGGACCTGCGGTGTCAGTGGGATTTTGCTGGGATGTGTGTGACCTCAGTCATCTGCCAGACCCAGCTAGCCGGGAGGACCTGCATAGTTGAAGGATTGAGGACAATCTTCGGTCAGAAAGCACGAAAGTCGAGTTAGGGAGTAGTCGGTTTCCCGACCAACACAGGATGGCTCCGGTGATTTTGGCAGGCCAGCTTGAAAAGGGGCGGCCTGGATCTTCCAACAGCAAAAGTTCCGCCTCTTGGTTGGTTTTATAGATGAACAGGCAGACATGTTGCACAGTTGGAAGATCTATCAACAACTTCTATTTGGTCAAAGGGCAGACACCACTGTAACTTCATCGATCGCCAGCAAAACAATGCAACGCAAGAACATGCTCGTTCCATGTACTCGTAGCATTATAGTTTTCCCATGATCCCCTCACTTACTCCCCCGCAAATTGACGTGGAGGAATTTGCACCGGCTGTTCGACATGAGGATTTCAAGGCCTTCCGAACTTGAGGACCCTCCACTTCGTCAGAGTGTGGGACCCTCCCAAGAACTATACCCTCCATGGAACACCTACAGGTGGATCGATCAAGCCGAACGTGGAACACCTTGGGCGACACCGTGCGTGGTCGTTGACCGTGTCCAACGTGGAAATTCTGGGGTTCCGAAGTTCCACTTTTTCGGGAGAATCGCAGGACAGGAGTCGCAAGGACAGGAGAGTGGCCCTCCCTGCGATCTGCGCCATCTGCCATTCCTCGCAGTACTCCACGGGTTGCCCTGCGCAAGTACCTGGAGTCTCAGTTCGTACCTCGGAAAATGGGTACAAGTACCTGGTTTTTATGGGGTCATGTCCCATTTTCTAAGGTAATTACTTTGGAGGGTCCAGGTACTACTTCAGAGCACAGATCGACGTAAGACATTGACTATCTTGAGACCAGTTTCGGGCAGATCTTCTACCAGGAGGCCCTGTGTGGGGTGTGTATAGTCATAGTCCCTTAGAGGTTAGGCGTGTCCGTTAACTACCCCTTGCGGGCCCAGGTGACTCTCATCCTTTGCTCGGTGACGTGAGGTTCTTGATTCGAATGCGAGATCTAGGTTAGCTTGGCACCACTTCCCGCTCCCGCTCCCGCGGTCGCGCATGCGTTCTCGCTCTCTGCAACCTCAGGAGGAAGGCAAGGAGCACATACCAACGGCGAACACACCCACGGGCTACACCCCCACGTCCGAGGATCGGCATCACCGGGGCGCATCAGCGGACCGACGAAACGTCGAGTGTAGGAGTCCGTGGCACGACTGGGGTGCGGACGAGTGGCACCAGAGTCGTGAGTTTTTTTCGTTGGTCCAAAGCTGGAGCTGTTCGGACATGCTTGCTAAAGCTTGGAGCTATACACTGATTGCTTGAGGATGGTTGAGGGGTGTGCTACTACAAAGTAATTACAACCCCATTGCTTCAGTGCATTGGAGCGCCAAATGCCTAGAGGCCTAGACTAGTTTTCCTTGAAGGACGAAGCGTCCCAAGAGAAGCCCTCCAACTTACCATGAAACTTCGCCAAAGGGCGGGCTGCCTTTGGGGGCCGCATGGGCGAAGCGTCGCAGCCTTTGCATGGATTTTTTGTTGCCTGTCCTACGAAGCAACCGGATTCCTGAATGTTTCGCATCTGGTCTTTTGAGGAAAGATCTCCTGGATGAATTGGTGGGTTGACTAGGTTAGGAGCCCGCGCATGCCACCATCATGGATCATAGATGTGGTTTGGATCATCTCAAGAATTCCCGAGAAGCGCCCCTGCTCCGAAAAGAAAGGAAGCCCCTCCAGTCGCCACAACGTCTCTCCGCTGGCCGCACCGAGACTGGGCGACCGCAGGCGGTGCCGGAACATCCCTCGGAGTCGGAGCATCCCTCTGAGCACCTGGGGCAGGAACACAGCCATTCCAAGAACCGGCTGCGGAGGAGCACGCGCATGTTCGTGCACGTGGTGGGTCTTTGGTTTGTTTCGCCACAGTGTGGTCTGTAGGGGGTCTTACGGTATGGGCTTTCAGGCAGGGCTTGATCGAGGGTGCGCATCCATGTCAGGCCAATTTTTTCTGCTCATTTTCTACCGCGCATTCATACGAAGCTACTAGGGGCTCCTGGCCATACTACTAGGAGCAAGGACGCTAGGGGCTCCTGGCATCGCTACTAGGAACAAGAAGATACTAGTAGCAAAGCATACCTCTCGAGATGAGCAAAGTGCATCTCGACTGCGCTTTCGGCTCGCGCAAACTTACTGCTCCAAGAGGGTGCTTTCCTCTCGACGGTGCTCTCGTGGTGGGTGCCGTATGCATTGTCCGACTCTGAAGTCGAAGTCGGGGGATCGGCGCTCAGTTCGATGTGCAGATTGGCAGGGGCAGCACATCTTGGACTGTGTGTGCTGTGGTCAAGTGTGTGCTCTAGTATGGGTGCTCTCGTTTGCTCCGGTTTGCTTTTTGCTCTATTCGTACGTGTGTTCACTCATTCATACCTGTGCTGTCGTATTTGTGCTCCAATCTGTATGCCCTCAATCTGTGTGCTCTCAATCTGTTGTATGTGCTCTCAGATGTGTGCTCTCATGGTGTGCTCTCATCTCTATGCTGTCACATGCGCGTTTTCACATTTGTTCTGACTCATGCCTGTGTGTGCTTTCATGTCAGGTTGCTGAGGATTGGTCGTTCTCTTTGATTTTGCACCCCCGTTGCACCGATCATTTTGCTCCTTTATGTCGACAGAGACTTGAGCCACTCATAACGACATGTGCTCTCAGGTGCGGTGTCCCATTGGCCTCAAAACGATTTGGGGTCTCACCAGCTGGGACCATTTTTTCGGAAGAACCTTCACGGAATCACTGGGGGGTCGAAGTCTTGGCTTTTCGGCCGGAACTGAGATTGGTTTGCAGAAATGGTTTCTTTTCAAAGACTGGCATGGAATATCGTTCGACCAGGTTGACAAGCACCCTAGGCAGCCCCATTCGTCCGCAGGACGCAGAGCCACTTGAGCTACGAAAAGGCCAAAGAGAGGGGCACCACTGTTGAATCTCGGCACAGATCCGCAGATTGGGGTAAGTTCCGCATGCGGTACAATTGCGGTACACTGCGAAACCCTGCAGCTGGAGGCCCTTTCCCTTCTTGTTTGGTGCTGGATGATTGGACGGAAACAGTGTGCATACACACAGAGAGACATGCATGTTGTTTATTCTCCTGTCCGTGACACCTCAGACATCGCGATGTTTTTGTGCCGGCTATAAGCGGCTCAGCTCCGTTTGCCCGTTTACGAGGAAAGCATCAAACGGCTGCAGACGCAGTCAGAGAATAAACGTCCTCATTCTCGGATCTGTCGCTTGGCTGAGTTGGACTGAATGGTGTTCGGGGTTTGGGACCATTGGCAGCCGCACGTCGATGGATCCACGACGTTGCTCGAAGCGACCGAAGTGCTTCTAGGTGGCTTGTCCAAGCTGTGCCTCAATATAGTTCACACGGTTTTGCATACCAGGAGTCACAAGGCGGGACCGAATAAGTCGGGTGCCGCTGTCACGTCGGGGTGCTGCATGTCACGTCACACATCCACGGCGATGCTCCGGATGGGACGAGGCAAGCCCCACCACCCAGAGCTCCATGTGACTCCTGGTAGAAAGCGTGATCCTGACCTGGTGAAGAGACCTTTTTTGGCCGAAAGAGCAAAGAATCCACAGAATCCACGTGCAGTCGATGGGAAGAAGAGACCTGTTTTTTTGCGTGAAGATGGCAGATCCAGCAAATGGTGTTGAGACTGGTCTACGGGTCCAAGATAAAGATGGATTAAGGACGACTCAGATCTGTGGGCCTCCCTTTTCCTGAAAAAAACAAGGGCTTGGTGGGCTTGGTGTCTCAAACTCAAAGGGCTCCTGAAGGATCTTTTCGGACGGACGGCCGCAACCTCCCGACAGAGGGGAATGTCGGCCTCATTCTTTCGGGCTTCGAATCCGGTCGGGCCCTCGAAGGGTCTTCGAATCGAATTGCTAGGACGAGGAAGATCAAAGTGTTTGCTGGGCGACGCGAAGACCGACCCGAGGTCAATGGTACAAGACCGAGATCAAAGCACGATGTCGCTACATCGCCGAAGCGTCCTCCGGATTTTTTCAGGGCGCGCGAGCGAGCGAGCGAGAGAGAGAGAGAGAGACAGAGACACAGAGAGAGAGAGAGAGACACACAGAAAGAGCGTGCACGTTTTGGGTGTGGAAAAAACAAGCGCAGCTGGTGCGGGGGCTCCCTATGCAGAACCAATGTGCATTTTGTTTAAGTGCGGGGGCGGGTGTTTTTTTCTTTTAAAGTCAAGTTTATGATGGAATCTGAGTACACTGAACGTCGGCAAGTGACGGGCTTATAGCTTGTTTCATGAAATATATAATGGTTCTGTTGCTAAACCACCCAAATTTGGAGTTCGACATCCCCAAACTTCACGGCATCTTTGACATTCAGAGTTACCCATCAGTCATGTTGGGCCGAACTGAGACTGAGTCTGAGACTGATTGGCTTGGGGCAGAGCTATAATAGGATGGACACCCTAAGAATCCAGGCCCGAACCAACACATAGGGTTTGCTTCCGGACCCCTGCCTTTCGGTGTCGGGTCCGACTCAGAGCCCGAGCTCGGATTCTTAGGTCTCATTCCTTTCTGACGGACTTCAAGAGGTCACCATCTGTCGCCTTTCGTTTCTGGCAGAGACTCGAGACCTTGCTCCGGCTTCGGCCTTCGAACGACGTCGCGTCACTCGTCCACGGTCAACGTGAAGAATGAGCCCAGGCTGCCCTTCAACGTCTTCTTCGCCTTCGTGATCCTTTCTAACTCGATGTGTCTGGGCGATGGTGCTGACCAAATTCACTGTCGGAACCATGTCGCCGAACGTGCTTTTTTCTAGTCCCAAAGCCCTGGGATGCTTCAAATCAAGATCCACCAACGTCAATAATTCACGGAAACCAGTGGCTGGCCGCAGAACCAGAGAAAAAGGGAAGGATCTTTGAATTTGGATTTGTAGAGAAGTTCCGACATGCATGGCTTCGAGAAATTCCGACCGCACGTGGGTAGCCCGATCTGATAGTTATCTCTCCGATTTTTTTCCATGAAAGACATGGTTTTTATTGGGTTGTGGCCCATTACCAGTAACAGTAATGGGGGAAAACCATCATCCACTGTCACTGGTAATGGGATATAGTTGCAGCCAATTTCATTTTGGGGAATGGTTGTCGAATCGATGGTGAGGCAGTCTTCTTCTATTGTCTTGTGTTTGATATCTGCCCAGGACGAGGTTGAGGCGTTTCACCGGCAGGGGTTCCACGTTGGTGAAACCATGGCCGGTTCTAGTGGAGCTGAGAGGGTATTCAGTTACAGTCCCCAAATAGATGACCGTTTCGACATTTTCCACGTGGGGATCGACCGAACTTCTATCTATTTGGGGACCACCGACCAAAGGCTTCAACCCCCCGACCCTCGGCGACTCCCGACTGGTCAAGGTCAAGAACCGAACCCGGTGGTTCGTTGAACTGGGAGATCGACCGGTGGGTTCGACCGGTTCGTTTTGGGTCAAGAGAAAGCGACCGGGTCAGCGGTCCACCATGGGCGGGACCAGTCCGAGACTGGTCAGACTGCGAAGTCTCAAGATTAGAGGCCAGGAGCCCCGAACGTAGCGTCCTTGCTCCTAGTAAGGCCAGGAGCCCCAGGAGTAAGGCCAGGAGCCCCAGAAGTAAGGCCAGGAGCCCCGAACGTAGCGTCCTTGCTCCTAGTAAGGCCAGGAGCCCCTAGTCATCACCTGAAGTCAACAGCTGGATATTTGTGTTTTAGGGGGGTAGTCATCAGGCAAAGTGCTTTTGGAACCGCCCCACCCAAAGTGGACTGAGGAGACTATATACAGCTTTTCAATCTCTTTCGCTTGTCTCTCTACCATTCATCTTGAACAAAGCATGTGCAGGGTGGTCGAGCGGATTTTTCTTTTTCACAATGGCAAGTTGCCTTGACCTCCTGACCCAGATCATGTCATTGTACCTGGATCTTTCAACTATGCAAAATGTAAGCCTTTGGGCTGGTTTGATAGATGAACAGGCAGACATTTGGCACGCTTGGAAGTTCTAGGTGTTCATTTGTCTCTCTCTCTCACTTTATCCTGAGGACCCCGCCCCCCCAAAACCTCCGCTCCATCGACCCTGTTGGAACCCAGAACGGTACTGTCGGTCAATCGAGAGACACGAACGCCATGCTGCGCCAGCCGCACGAACGAGAAAGCACCGACCCTGTGACTTCCAGAGACGTTCTCGTTCTGCTGACAGCTCTCCCGACGTGGGCTTCCCTTCGTGGCGCCCTGGCAATGCGCTAGAGACCCATGGCCTTAGAGCCCAAGGGGTTGCCCGAGGTGAAGTGGTGGCCATTAACCACGACCGTGGGTCCTGGGACCTGTAGATTTAGAGATCTGTAACAATGGCCTCTACCCCAGTCGCCATTGCCTCCAACCTAACAATCACTGATTACTGATGAGGTTCTTGGGCATTCAGATGGAGATGAAGGCGGAGGCGTGGAAGCAAAACGCTGCGCCGCCCTCCTTCATCGCGCCCAACCTGGTCTACGCGCGCCTTGCTTGCAAGTCTTTTCCCCAACTGGCGCGCGGTGAGGCTCTTTAAGTTTTGTGAAAGGTGCCACTCGTCCTCTCATGTCACCGCGAGTACCAGCTGTGAAGTCCAAACTTCTCTATTCGCGATTCTAGATGGGTGTGTATTCATTCAAAGAACTCCCTCAAAGACCGCCTGGTTGTCCAGGACAGATCGACGAACATCGGAACTCATTTTTTGGGAGTCGAAGGAGCATTAAAAAGGAACGCACCACTCAGAAATTTCTATTTGTTGCGACTTGGTTTGTTTCAAGGTAGATACACTATTTAGACTGCCAATTTTTGATGGCTGACAGTGCCAGAGCTGTTTTTGATCAGCGATAGCAGCTAGAGGAGACCAAGAGAACCAGTTTTTGAGGTGAGGTTTTTCATCTTTTTGCCGTATGGGAGGTGAAGTCTCAATTGGCAACTTACCTCTATAAAACTACATAACACCAGACCACGGTCAGACTCCTGCAAAAAACGACATCCCCCTTGGTTTACCGTTCTTGTTTTGGAACCACCAGGGATGATCCAGCCACGTCTCCTGTCGTGGCTTGGCTTGCTGATCTTGGCTTCGGCGCTCCAGCAGGATTCTCTTCACTGGCGAGATGCTGATCCGCGTGAGCGCCTGGGGGCCCATCAAGTACTTCTACGACAAAGGCCGGACCAGTCGATCCCCGCGTCCCTCGGTCCCGCGCGGGAACGCGGGGGTCTTTCCTGCGGCGTGGCACGGAGTCATCGAAACGGTCCCTAGAACAACGACCTGTTTTCTTTTTTTTATTTTTTTCGCAGGAGTTGCCCTAAATTGAAGATATTGAAGAAGCAGTGTGCAGCGTTGAATGTAGAATCTTGATCAACAATAGAACCCCCCTTTTCGATTGTAAATAGAATCATCCTTTTTCGATTGTAAATCCTCCTCAAAGGGGGTTCTATTCATCAAGATTCTGCAATGCGGATTTGCAGTTGAACGGAGTTTGGGCGAACCCCATGTACGGAATCCATGCTGCAATAACCTCCAAAAGTTGAGCGTGCCATGCAAAAAGGCAGGCAGTCGCTGGAAGGCTGAAAGATACTGTTCGGAAAACAACATCTACAATATGTTAGAACACTAGCAAAGGAGTGCTCGGGATATGTAACTACGTATACAGTATACATGTATTATATGTACTTAGGGGGCCAAAGAAAGAATCGCTTTTGTATTGATGAGCATCATCAGCCGAACATGAGAAGAGCTGGTTCTGTACACCACCAGATGGCGATGTTTCGGTCTCTTGAGTTGCACGCTGATGCCATCTGGTGGTTCTGCTGATGCCATCTGAAGCCTCACAGCCTCATGATGTGTTGACCTGGGCAATGGTGACGACCGTCTGACGGTTTTTTCAACGGAGAAGGCAAAAGCAAAGCGATTTGCCAAGAGACACTCGATCTATGTGCGGATATTTTCCTACATGGATCCCCTTTCAACCAACCCAAGGCAAGCGCGCCGCTGGTCGAACTCTCACGGTTGCCATGTTTTGTCCCAGTCACTGCGCAACACCCCATGGTGTTCTCCCAGTCAAATCTACCATCTCTCTTTTCGAAACATGGAAGTGAACAGTCTGGCCCCTGCAAAGATCATTTTCCGCTACAAAGAGGAGGTCTTCCACTTGTATGTTTGTTGCAGGGAGGGTACTCTGTGCACACTGGTCGCAATCCTGCCACTGCGTTCCCCACTGCAGCTACCCTACAATGCCACAGCCTACAACTACACCCGTCCAGCACCATTCTTCCGCAAGATGGTCGAACTGTTGATTACCCTAGAGAATTGTTTCACGACACCATGTTGGGATACCTGACCTTAGTAAGTGAACAGATTCATTATGGTTCATTGTACTGTATATAATATGTATACATATATATATATGTATATCATATCTACACTCCGCCTGCCCCTGGCCTTTTGATCTGGCCTTTTGATGGCCTTCACATTCCTCGGACGTCGTGCGTCGAAGAGGCTGTGCTTGGAACTGGTTGGACGTTTTGGCCTCTTGGGCTGACCCAACCGACTGGAGCCGCTTACGCAGACCCTCGCGGGGGCCCGGGCGCTTCTTCCCTTGCGGTGACCCAACAGACTGGTGGATGGGGTTGGTTCTTCTTTCAAGAAAGGAGACACTCTCCATGAATGGAGCCAGAACTCTACACGATTTCCTGCAGAATTCGGTTGACATCGACTTGTCTCAACAACGAAAAGGGCTTCGATCCGAATGTTCGATCGAATGTTCGATGTTCGATGTTTTCCGTGCGGGCCGGGCATACAGAATTGCTGAGTGAGTGGTTTCAGATTCTTTAAAAAATCTTCAACCTGTACTTGGGATGATGGATCCCAACTAATACTTGTCAAATGAGTTGACACCACCAACCAGCTTGTATCTTCTATGTCCACTGGATATTCCAACATTTAAAAGATCCCCCACACGCTACAGACTCGAACCGTTGTGGGCTGCGCAAAAACGCACAAAAACGTGCGAAACCCCCCACCTGTCTGACCCCCAAAAACACCGTCTGGTTTCTGCCCTCCACGTCCCTGGGTTTCCGTGCTCGACCTGAGACGCCCAGGTGGTGATCCCCGCCTGGATCGAAATGGCCATCGACCTCAGCACTGACGAGCAAGGCGGGGTGCCCGGAGGAATCTGCCTGCGTGAAACGTAGCGAAGGAAGAGATGCGGAGGAGATCAATCCTCTTGAAAGATGCTCCAACAAACTGGTTGGAGGGTCCTGGGGGCGGTGATCATGCAAGTGGATGGCACCACCTATTTGTAGATAGAAGGGGGCCATGCCGGGCCATGCCATCCATGTAACCATGTACCATGATGATTCAAGGGATGGTCCTGTCACCAGACGATGAGATCGAGCGAGAGGGGGGGGACGGTCGATGACGGAAAGCCGCTGTTGGGAAACCAGAGTCGGGTAACGAAGGTCAATTAGAAGGTACGGTAGATGAGCTGAAGAAGGGCAAGCAGGTACACTCCCTGGAAGAATCATCGGAAGTCCAAAATTGCCCCTGGAAGAGGGTATTCTTTTTCCCAGACTCAGGGCCAAATCACAGGAAAAGACACCACAGAAGCGTCGAGATGCTGTACATTGCATCCATTTGCTTTGCAACTTCGGTCTGTTGCGCTGTCCGAGGCTTAGAAGGAGGCGCGGCCTCGAACTTTCGCATCATCCGGATCTTCAAAGTCACCAGGCGGGGTGAGTTCAAAGACGTCGTCCTTTTTTCCCGGGCGGAGCAAAGAATATATAGCAGGGACCTCGGCGGATCCAAAGGGTGTTGGGTGATCTGGCCGTCATGACCAGGATGGGGAGGTGCAGAGTCCATGGGAAATGGGTCTTTTTCGCAGGTCGATTGGCGGATTGCTTTGTTCCTCAATGGATTTCAATTGGACACCCCCTTGGATGTCCTGGTAGATGATGAATGGAGATGCGTTGTTTGTTGCTGAGGTGTTGACATCGGAATATCAGCTTCTGTGAACGCCGCTCACGAGCGTTGGTTGTCTCCACCGAATGCCGCTTTTTTCCGGACACCTTCCAGGCTTCTGCAAGTGGTGCGGTCCTTACGCATCGTGAAGTTTATCAGTGCCCCTCAGATGCTTCGGATGAGTGCGTGGGGCCCATGATGGTCCGCATGGTGAGGATGAGCGCTCCTACTGGATCAATCAGCCCCAAGAATTGGAGGGGAATTGGCTCCTGTGGTACTGTAGTCTGAACTTAGAGCAGCAAAGTTTCTGGCAGCTGAAGGTTTTAGCAATCACGACTGGAGGGCGAGGGCACTGGTGTTCCGCACGCGGGGAACTTGTGAGGGGGAGGTTGTTTGCTTGCAAGACTTCGAAGAAGACGCCTGGGGGGCCAGTGACTTCTGGGTTTATTAAGCAAGGCTCACCCAAAGCTTCAAGCACCACGACTGCTTTCGGTCGTTCCTGTTCCGTAGGTCCAGTTCCGAAGGTCTGGGGGGTGCGTAGATATAGTAACGAAAGGAAGGCTACAGGGAAGCCCCACATGAATCATTCCTGCTTGGAGTGATCTGGGCACCCAGCCACGTTGCTCACAAGTTGTTTCACGCCACTTGAAGACTAATTATCATGGTAGAGATCAAGCATGCATCGATGTAGTTCCAGCAACCGTCTGCAAGTGTTGTTTTTGTGGCCTTTTCAAGTCAAGGGAAGATCACCTTCCCAACTAGAGTCATAAGAATCTGCAGAATCCTAATGTTTCCTATTTCCCGCGCAGGAAAGAGGATTGAACCAACAAGAGGCCAAAGTTTTTGGGAAAAAGGACGATGTGAAGATCTGAATCTTACCAACTCATCAGGTCGAATCAAGACAACCCAACATGCCGCGCTCGTCTCAGTTTAGTGAACATGCCACCCACCTTCTCTACGGAGTAACTACGGGGGCCGCAGTGACGGGTCTCGGACCTCCAAGCGGATGTTTGGTCTCGGACACGCAGGGTTTTTCCTCGTCATCTTTCGCCCCGTCTAGAGCCGAATGCTACGAGCCGAATGCTGGTCGCTCGGAGCCTGGCAGGAAGAGGATTTCATGGTCATCCGACCTCGGGTGCCATGCCATCCACGTTTTTAACATATGAATCATATGATTCTTTTCAGGGCGTTTTTAGCTGTGGAGGAGTCCACAGCTACCCAAGTCGACAGGCCGTACTCTTGAGAGGCCAAAAGGCACGAATCGGAAAGAAAAAGCTCTAAAGCAGATTGTGAGGGCGTGTATCCTGTATCCTATAGATTTCTAGAAGGCCTTTGGACCTCTTTTTGACCTTTGTTGGTAGCTCCATGTGGTTTGGACTCATTTTGGACCATTGTTGGGATCTCGTCGCTGTGGCCGGTACACGTGGGGTGGGGGTGCCTTGGTCTAGAGGAGCTGAGTACGGTGGAGCTGAGAGGTGTTGCCTCGACTTCAGGCCCTACGTGCGCTGGTGATGTCAGTAGTGGATACTACTCGACAACTGCTGTGGGCACTGATTTTGCTGGGCCTGGTGCAATATAGCTTTGGCAGCTTGGTGGGTCGCTGTGTAAGTCTGGACATGTCGCGTTCTGCATGGGTCGCTTTCGGCATTCACTTCTTGAAGGGTCGAAGCTCGATCGCTTTTTCCATCATTTATTTGGGTGAATCAAGCTGTTGCCAGCACTCTAATACAAGCTTGGTGATGCTTTAAGGCATCTGTGGTTTCAGCTGTGCTTTTGAAACATGGATTTGCTTCGCCCTTGCTTCTGGTATTTGGGGCATGTCCATCCTTCGCCCGAAACAACCATTTTGTGACTGGGATGAAGAACGGCTGGAACATCACTGCACCTGCCTACGCCTGGCTACACCTGTCACATATTCTGTGTCGCTCCTATAGGGTTTCTGTCTCATGATGGGGGTGAGTGAGCGGGGCATTCTGAAGAATTTCTTGTCGCGTAGCTACAGCTGGTCCTCCTCCCTGAAGGGTGAAACATGTCCTGTCGTTGTTTGACACCACGCTCACAGGTTCAATAATGTGCGTAGATGCTCCAGAGTTTGCTAGGTGGAAAAGCGATACGAGTCACCAGAAAGGCCCTGGTTGAATTGGACCCCAAACGACCATGTTACTGTAATCAGTTATGTCAACTTCAAGTCACATGGTTTTTGGGTGCTGGTTTTTGACTTGCAAAAGTGGTCGCCTCAGTAGTCGCATCGCACAACGATGGACCTAGGGTTCCATCTGTCATCCTAAGTCCAACTTCAGACGACAGTTTCCTGAAGTTCATCCAGGAAGTGACCGGGTCACCTCAGGCCCCCCAGAATCACAGATGGCGAGTGGACCGAGATGGGCGTTCTTTACCGGGGCACCCGACGTAGGTCCTAGGTCGGATGCTCCGAGCCGAGGCATCCTCTTCACCGACGCGGTACTTGACTATTCGGCCTCGAACGGGCCGCACGAGGATCAGATGGAATTCTTTGGGAGTGTTTACTTGCACCTGGGCGGTCCGTGGGTAAAGCGTGCCGTTTTTTTTTAGTTTTTCGGTTGGGTTGGGAGGGGGGAGCCAAAATGAGCCAAAAGGTTTCGGTTCAGTTCTTGTAGTTCCTTTTTTTCTGATTGGGGTGAGTGCCTGGGATGACCTTTTGATGAGTGGTTCTTTTCCCTTGACCAATGGTCTCCGAAGCCGGACCAACCCGAGCTTCATCCCGGAGGCAGTTCTTGGGACAGACACAGAACCTTCGTCAAAGACACGCAAGAAAAACTGAACCAAGCTTCCAGACACTTCTGGGGGACCTGGCAAAATAGAATCCACTCCTGCTGTGATGTAGACCTCTTAATTTGGGGGCTTGAAATATAGTCACGAGATATATCAAGATTCTACATGAACTAGGGATGCGGTTGGTCCCCAAGGAGCTGTAAAAAGCCAGCCTGGCCTGGCTCCGGCATCATCAACACATATATCATCGAATCATGTATCTTAGTTTGGTCTACTACAGCCGCTACAGCAACGACTGTTGAAGGAAGAGTTTTGCTAGGCACCACGGAACCATACGTTCAAATGTATGTCTTTTCCTGGATCCCAGTAATCCAGGAGAACGAATTCAAGAACAGGTCGATGTCGTCCAGTTCGCGCCTTTTTCGGCCTGGCTGGCGGCCATGGCTTTATAGCCGTTTTTGGTCCAGCGTCACGTGATGAGTCCGAGACTGAAACGAGGAGGAACGACCGGTGAAACGATTTTCAAGGAAGCTTCTCAACAACCATTAATAGGCTGAATCCCGAATCAACGAAGGATTTTACACAACAGAAACCAGGTCGAATGGAAGTCTAGGGTTCTAGTTACGTTCGTAGCTTCTTGTTAGTAGCGATGGCCTCCACCTAGTAGAGAGACCAGGTGGTCTTCCGTGCGTCCGCGTGTGCGATGTATCGACCTTTGACCGGAGGGCCCCGGAGGGCACCGGAGGGAGCTCGTTCACTTCGTTCGACAAAGACAGGCCGAGGCGCCTTCAGATCTGGCTAGCTTGTTTTGGCCGGAATGTCATATCCCTACTTACATGGGTGAACGCCTCAAAATGGTCTCGCCATAGCAGTGGCAGTTGTATCATGTCGCTGGGCCAAGAGGAAGTCAGCAAGGGCGGCCGCTTGTGCCATACCTAGATCTTCCAACTGTGCAAAAAATTGTGCCTTTTCATCCATAAAACGAGCCAAGTTAGGCAGACATTGGTCACAGTTGGAAGATCTAGGTGTGCGAAATACTATCTCACTACGTTTATGAACTCCAGCAGCGTGGAATTGGGCGTGTTGTTTTTGGATCAAATGCTGATGTACGTTTTCACTCCAATCCCTTCTTCGGCTCCTTAAAATCTGTCCGTGAACCCGGCTCCAGACCAGCCCCGCTCCGTTCCGCGTGGCACCGTCGTGCGACGTCAGAATCCGTTGCACGTCAGAAGCCTTGGTCTTCGCGACTTTGGTCCGCGTCCGGTTTGAGGTCAGTGATCACGCTTTTTCGCTCCATTTTGGGCGGCATTGATTGGGCCTGGGCAGCGGATTCACTGGAACCTGTGGGCTGGATTTGGGTCCAGGCAGGGGGCTTTTCAGTCAGCTCACCGGTTGGTGAAGGTCAATACTACGCGGTATACGCGGTACGTGCGTTTCTTCCAAGGCTTTCTCATCTCTATAGTTTTTGGGAGCAGCTTTGAGGGATCCATACCAGGACCATCCTGTCTGGGTGTTCTGGCTGGGCCACCCTACTTAGGGATCTGCATTGGAAACCCATTGGATGGTCCAGGTATAGATATTAGGTTTTTTCCTCGAGGGCAAATGCGAATTCATCCTGACTCATCCGGGTCACATTGCCTTCTGAGACATGATCTATACCGAAAGGAACATCGAGCGCTGAATGAATGTATCACTAGTTTTCCGAATCTTCGAAGGTGTCTTCCATCATTGCCCCAAGGGTCCATGTGGCCACCAGGGCCCTCCTGACCAGGCTGTGTGTTTTGGAACCCGACACAAATGGTTTACTGGACAATGGTTGTCATCAAGAAACACCTGCCTGGAGGGTGCTCGCAGGAGTTTCCACCCAAACTCAGATCGCGTCAGGCAGCTCGGATCCCTTCACAGATAGCACATCTCTGAAGGGAGCCGAGGGAGGATATGTTTCGGAGGAGCCGAGAGACGAAACCCAGAGTCATTCGAGGCTTCACAAGAGGCTCTCTGAGCATCAGAAGAGGAGACACCAAAGATGTTCTAAGAAACACATACCAGCACCCTCCAACAGGCTGTTTGGAGACCCTAACAGGTGGTTTCTGGACACCTGTTGTCACCAGGAAACACTTGTTGGAGGGTGCTGGTATATTTTTTTGAGTCCGTTTGTTCTTTTTTGAGGGGTCTGATTTGGAGGGTTTCCCTGTTTGAACATTCATTCATAGTACAATCAAATATCTGAAGATGGACCCACCTGGCATATGGGCTCGTCGTTCTCCCGGCCAACTGCTCCAGCCAAGCAAACCCGTCTTGACCTGGAGCGCCAAACGGGATTCAGAAAGGTTGAGGAGAGAACTGTACACATCAAGGCTGATGGGATGCCCACCCCAATTTCCTCCATTCCTTTTCCGAATGCTTCCACATGTCAGTGCTGGTGAAGGCGGCAAGAATCTTCCACATGTCGTCGGCGGCATCTCGTTGACCGACAGGTCTTCCACTTGTACATCGCCTTTTGTGGCTTTGCCGACGCCAAGCCGCACCACTCGGAGAGTCCGGCCCGGACAGTCGCTCCAAGAAGGCGCTCATTGACACAGCAGGAGTCACGTTCGACGGGGTGCCGAACTTGGTGGATAGGGGTGCCCATTTGGTCCACTCACTTATAGGACTAAACAGCACCCCCCGCTGTGACCCCTGGCATTCAGTTTTTGCGGTGAGTTATAGTACACTTCATTTCACGTTCTGACATGTTCTGACGACCCCTCCGAGATCCCGTTCGGCACCATCCTGTCTGTTCATGGGACCTTTCCCTTCGCCCTCCCAAAAAGACGACGTTCATGGGACCTTTCCCTGTCTTTCACGAACCGGTCACCGTTCTTCGCCGTTGGAGTCCAAGTCCCGACCGCAACGGTACCCGAAACGGTACGGCGACCGAGGTACTCAACGTGATGACCGGGGTGTTTGTGAACAGTGCGATCAAGACTCGCGAGCCTTGGAACGGGACGGAACGGTCGGAACTGGTGAAGCAGATTGAGACAACTTATGCCGGCAAGAGACCCCAAACAGTGTGTGTGAGGTCTGTAAGCAGAAAGTCTAGAGATCTAGACGCATTGGGGTCCAGAGAGGTGATGGTGGTGATGAAGTGGATGAGAGGGAGTGTGAGAGTGAGAGTGAGTGAGAGTGGGAGAGTGAGTGTGAGTGAGTGCGAGTGTGAGTGAGAGTGAGTGTGGGTGAGAGTAAGTGTGCGTGAGAGTGAGAGTGTGAGGGAGTGTGAGTGTGAGTGAAAGTGGGAGAGTGAGTGAGTGTGAGTGAGAGTGAGTGTGGTGAGAGTGAGTGCGGGTGAGTGAGTGTGAGTGTGAGTGCGAGTGTGAGTGAGAGCGAGTGAGAGTCTGCGAGTGGGAGAGTGAGTGGGTGTGAGTGTGAGGAGTGTGAGTGTCAGCGAGAGTGTGAGAGTGAGTGAGTGTGTGAGGGATGAGAATGAGTGTGAGTGAGAGTGAGTGAGTGTGAGTGCGAATGAGAGTGGGGGGGTGAGTGTGAGTGCGAGTGTGAGTGAGAGTGAGAGTGGGAGTGTGAGGGAGTGTGAGTGTGAGTGAAAGTGGGAGAGTGAGAGTGGGAGAGTGAGAGAGTGAGCATCTGAGAGCACAAAGTACTGCGCCTGCCAAGTGCTGTGTCTGCCACGAAATCTGCACTTCGAGGTTCACCATGCGCTGTGCCTGCCACGAAATCTGCACTTCGAGGTTCACCATGCGCTGTGCCTGCCACGAAATCTGCACTTCGAGGTTCACCAAGTGCTGTGCCTGCCACGAAATCTGCACTTCGAGGTTCACCAAGTCCTGCACCTGCCACGAAATCTGCACTTCGAGGTTCACCAAGTGCTGCGCCTGCCACGAAATCTGCACTTCCAGGTCGACCAAGTTCTGTGCCTGCCACGAAATCTGCACAAAGTGCTGCACCTGCCACGAAATCTGCGCAAACGAGCCACACACCATGTCCAAAGTGCTGCACCTGCCACGAAAACTGCATTTCGAAGTAAAACAGCTCCGATCCCTTGCACCTGGACCAAAAGCACGAGGTTTCCCTTGCGCCTGCCACGAAAATGTACCAAAATGCGCACGGCGCCACAACGAGAGCGCAGTCGCTAGAAGCTCCCGCTGCCGGCAGGCAGATTTTGCGAGCCTGCGCAGTCGAAATGCACATGGACGATGTCGAGAGGCATGAATGTACTGTAAATAGCAATGAATTGGCCGTTCACGCCGGTGCGCTTCAGCGATCTAAGCATCAGCTGCTTTCCACTACCGTAAGAACCCCTCAGTGTGCCCACACTGTTTGGGGGAAAGAAAAAGGTATCAGGGTCATCCTGTCTGGGTGTCCAATAACCTACCCTACCAGTTACCCTACCCTATACTTTTGCGTCTCCATAGGGCACCCGTTGGAAGTGCTAGGTATATAATCGTTTTTTTTCAGCACCGCCAGTTTCAGGAGATCGATGCTGTTGAAGGCTTTCTGCGTTGCAGAGCGTTTCCTTTGAAACATGGGCCCAACGGGTCCCATAAGACTTCCTTCTTGGCACAGCAGCCATCCCCCATGGCTTTCGAATGATACATGATACAACAAGCTTTGGTCACGCCGCTTCCAAGTGTTCGTTTATTGAAGCGTTTGGAACAGAAACGTTCATATACCTGGAACCCCCAAACACAACCAGAAATGGGATGTGTCCACAGTCCCAACCACTTGCTCTCGGATCCATTGGTTTCTGGTTGTGTTGGGGTCGGGTGCCGACCTGCTTACGGGTACCAGGCGGAGGTCGGGAGTCGAGCGGGTGGGACAAAGCCCCACCATGGAACGCATTTTTCACATGGATCATACATCTTTCCACTATAACAATATGTGTTTGCCCTTTAACATACTATATGGATCTTTCAACTGTGCACACACACAGTGTTTGCGTGTGTTTGCCCTTTTTGCTGGGCCAAATATGGACGAAGAGATAAAAAACTAATATATATATATATATATATTATGCATCATTGGAAGCTTCCTCCCAGCTCCATACGCGATACGCGGCGGAAGTCAGGATTCGCGACGGCGAGAACGGGCTGAAGAGGTCTCCCCCAGTCCATCAGTTTTCTCAACCAGGACCATCCAAGGGGTGTCCTAGCTGGAGACCTAAAGGTAGTGGGCTGGGTAGTCCAGCCAGGACACCCATTGGATGGTGCAGGTATGCCCACACACCGCTGAACACACCGCTGAAATCCACAAAGGGTGGACGTTGAAAGGAACCAGCACCCGGCTCCCCTACATCCCCGGTCCCTTTTCGGGTCCTCACGGGAAAGAAAAGGGAAGCAACAACACGCCGTTTTCAACACAACCCCCCCAAAAAAATTCCCTGACAAGACCGAGTTGACCAGAGCTCACCACTCAATCACCTCACCCTCGCCGACCATATCGAGGAGCGCGATCACGAGACGTTGATCCAGAACAAGAATCGTTTCAAAGACCTCGTTTCAAAGATCTGGAGCCCCCCGACGGGTGGGGCGTGAGACATTCGTTTTCGGCGTGAGACCACTCGGTGGGTGGTTCGTTGAAGTCGTGGTGGGTTGTTCGGTGGGAAGCCAGCGTTTCAGTATGGTGTCCTTTGTTTTGGGGGGGGGGGGGGGCAAGTGGGTACCAGGACCAGCTGAGTAGCGTGAGGGCGTCTGAGTACAGTGGGGGGTTGGATCCAAGCGGTCGATGTGCCGCAGCAGCTGCAGTGAAGTCGATCGTGGATTTCGTTCGAAGTCGACCAAGAGAGGTGGGTCCCTTTTGACTATCCCACAGGTACCCTAGCTAGTCTGGTCCTTTTTCAGGTCAGTTAACCTCTCTTGGGAGGCGGAAGCACATTTGGAGCAAAAACACCCCATGGCGCAACCTGGAGGCTCTCAAGTCTGATCTCAGATGGTTGCGATTAGATTTTCTACGTCTTTGATGTCATAGGACACCTCTGCACGTTTCAGGCCTTTGAAGCCACGCGATTGGTCGAGTTATCATGCATCACCACATGACCAGGCGGAGCCTGGGTTGGTTCTGTATCTAATATCTAATAAACAGAAAGCTTCTGCAACGTTAGGCTTGGACGCATGTATTAGCACAGCATAGCACAGCTATCCATCTAGCAGCGACCATCAAATTCACCTGTTGTAATGAGCCATTTGCAGTTTCGCTGAGTAAATGCTGAGACATGCATGGCTTAATCTTTGAGAAAAAACATAATGACTACTGGCAGGATCAACCAGGTTTCAACCATCCCATTTGGATTGACAAACCTCTTCTATAATCAAGAGTCTACATTAAGTTAGGTCTTTGCTTTTAAGATGTCTTATACCTAGATCTTCTAACAATGCCAACATGTCTGCCTTTTCATGAACAAAACCAACCCCAAAGGCAGATATTTGTGCATTGGAAGATCTAGGTATAGATGTTTTGCTCGGATCCGTATAGGTCAATCTTCCAGTCCCATGGATTGGCAAAATCTTCCATCCTGGACGGTGTCGTGGCTAGACTGCTACACTACTTGTCTGGATCTCCAGCCACCCATGTCCAGGATGGTCGAGGTAGACTCGACTTCCAAAACACTCTGTGGTTTTACTTTGACTGCTCAGCTTCTCGCTATACTTCATACTTCTTCTGGTCCAGCTTGGTGGTTTTACTTCCGTCGGTGGACGCACGATGTGCATCGATGCTCGTCCGGTGCGTAGACTGAGGAGACTCATCGGGGTCAGGGGATGGTCATTGTCTCTTGAAGTCCTCGTGTTTTTTTTTGGGGGGCACCACCGGGGTGTAGAAGGAACTTCTTAGAGTTCTTTAGGGTCACCTAAAGACATCCTAAAGACAATTTTCACTTTAACGGTCGTGAGCTCCGAGGGTAGTCTTGGATGACTCTTAAAGAGGATGGCGCCAGTCACGAGGCAGTTCTGCATCTGACCACCCCAAAATATGGACTTAGTGATGACTATGAATTGACTTCTGAACATCCATTGACATTGAATATTATCCAAGGGGAGCTGAATTCCAACCAAACGAAACCCGCAACACCCGAGGTTCGTTTTTTTCTGCACAGTCAAAGCACCGGGGCTTTGAGGTAAGATGGATGTGGATGGGCACGGGCAGATCACCATCACCGAGTTTGAACGGCCCTTCGGCGGGACACCGACCCTGTGCAACAGGTCTTCCAGCGACCAGCGACCCCAGCGGGTGATGAATCCCGCGAGCGGGGAAGCAACAGTTGGATGGACAAATGACTGAAGAAAAGCAAAGCACAAAAGGGTATTCGACTCCTCCAGCCGTCGCGAGGGCGCAGGAGTGCGCGGATTGGCTTGGCAGGTCGTTTGCGGTCCAAAAAACACCTGTTGGAAGGTCCATAAGAGGACAGTCCACACCAAGGTATAAGGGGACAGTCCACACCAAGCACATCCGATTTGTTGGCAGCTGGATACGCAACCAACTCAGCTGATCAAGCATATTCACTGATAGAACATCGCAGTGCTGTTACCTTTTGGACAGCTCGTTGACGGGCATATCATTCCAGGGACAATCGTCCTGCTGCCTGAACCACCAAGTTTCACATGCAGGAGGGATCCTGTGACGGCTAAACATCATGGCCCTCCAAAAGGACATGATATGGTTTATAAGAGATACTTAAAGAAATTACGACGATTTAAGCATGTCTCAGAGTAGGATGTGGTGGGACTTCAGAAACCTTCATGCTTCGTGACGTTTGACGGCGAACTTGGGCAAACACGACACATCGGCCTGTGACAACAATATGAAAACATTTTGCAAAAACGTCTGGTCGGACGAGAAGCACCTAGAATGGTGGCGGATTGGCATCGGGCCGATGTTCTTCCTTCAGGATGTTCGAGGACGAATCAATGAAGGCCTTCTTCTCCGCGATTGAGATCAACGCTGTCGATGTGCCCTGGATTCCAGGCTTTCCGGGCTTTCACTTCTCCACTTCAGAAGCTGAGCCCTGAGAAGGTGATACCACTGGCTGAGAGCCCTAAGAGAACTGTGGAGCCACCAAAAATGAGGTTTGGATACCGGCTTCCAAGACCATTGAGAAAATGGTTGACCTGGCGTTGTAGTGTAAAATCCTCAGCCAAACGCTCGGGCTGTTTGGCAAGAAGCGATCGAAACGAGCGATCGAACGACGGAAGGCCTCCAGATCCGGGGGGCACGTAGCGAAGGCCACAACGGGGAGCCCTTAGGAGATGTAGGAGAACTACCTGGAACTATAAGGTGTAACATACCCAAACGATCCATATTAATCATATGTAATCATAGTATAAGTAAATATGACCTATACCTTCACCATCAAAAACCACCACATGTAGACGATAGAACTGCGCCGCCTATGGATCGTCTGGGATATGTTTCAGAAAGAGATTTTTGGGATCGACCAAAGGTGAAATTTCCTCGAGAGGAACACTCCTTTTCCAGAAAGGATGTATTTTTGACCAATTGTTCACCCTGTCTCGTCCTCTTTAGAAAGGGTACCGCCTGTTGCGGCCAGGTACCACTTCGTAGTAGTTGAGATTCCCTTTCAAACAGAAAAGGACAACATCATGAGCCATATCGCCATTACGTTGGAGGCCATCGCTAGAAGGTTGGAGGCCATGGCCATGGCTGGTCTCAATGGGATCCCCGGTCACCGACCCTTCCGTCATCGAAGAGGCCTCGCCTGCGGAGGGCAGAAGATCCTCTCTAGACGGAAAACTCTAAGACCCTGTTCGCCCCTGTGGTTTTATTGTTACTGATTTGCGATATCGATACGAAAACAAGTTACTAGACTATATACTAATAAGCCCCGCCTACATGATTGGTTTCAACCCTTAGCAGAAGATGTGTGACAGGGCTTCATGAAGAAACCCCAAACAATTCAATCCACTTCGAGACGAAGGGGGCTCGACACGTATGTTTTTTTCGTCGTCTGAAATCCTTTGTCAATAACAAGGGTAGGTTGTTTCGTTAAGATCATTCCATGAATGGAGGTTGGACCTCTTGAAAGGGAGTCGCCTTTAAATGGTTTAAACTCGGTCCAACGGCGCTTGGGATGCTCGGATTTGGATGCCACTTCTTCTCGGTCCGTCCGGTCGAGCGGAGCACTTGACTCGGAACGAAGCACGAAAAACGGACCTCATAGCCTATAAGGTGGACTCTTGACCCCCGGCCATTTGGATTGAACAAAAGCTCGTATACATCTTACACGAGCCATGAGACTGGAGGTGTTTCTTAGGTGACTCCAATTGAACAGATTCATGACCCCAGGTTCAACGGATATCTCTTGGGGGCCAGTGTCCATCCGTAGTGTTTCGGAGAGAATCTACCTGGACCATGCAGTGAACGGGTGTGGCTGGAGATCCAGACCAGGTAGTGGGCTGGGTAGTGCAGCCAGGACACCCAGATGGTTGGATGGTCCTGGTATATAGCATATACCTGGAGTCGACCCGTTCGTACCTCGGGTTCAATGGGTACAAGTACCTGTTTTTGTGGGGTCATGTCCCAGTTTCTAAGGTACTTGAAGTCGGGTCCAGGTATTTGCGGGGGTTGGTGGTCCCCCAAAAAGGTCAACTGCTTGGTGATTGGTTGTCGGACGGTTGTCCAAGGCTTGGACTCTCTTCGACAGCTTGGATGTGGATGGCGATCACACCATTAGCGTGGACGAGTTCATGGAACCTCGGCTTTTGCAGAAAAAACACCGCGCTTTTCGCCGGTGAGGAGTAGTGAGGAGTGGTGAGGAGTTCGGGTTTGATCCCAGACTGAGGGTTGATCCTTTGGGGCGGAGTGAGAGGTTAAACATGCTTTCTCTTTTCTTGGTGTGCATGCAGTCAACAAATTCCCCCAGCCAAGGCGCTGCGCTTGATTGCACTGCGCGCCCATGAAATGAAATGGTGTCAGGTTGTCGGTTGTGGGTTAACACCAAAGGACCTCCCAGGTACCAGGTCTTCTTTCTCACATCCGGTGAGAACTAGGTGCTGGTTTCGGATATGTGAATGTTCAACCCTTACTTAGGGATGATTGGGCCCTCTGACTCATATTTTTCAAACTGGGCTGAAAACTGAAAACATCAACCAGACGAGAATGTTCTGGATATTTTCTGTGACTTGTTCGGTTGGTCCGACACAGTCTCTCCGGTGTCGGTGTCAGGTCGGGACCGGTTGGCAGGACAGCTTCATTTCTGCCCGCCCGCCTCCTTCAGGAGCGTTGCATGCAGCTTCATGGGCCCGCCCGTTCCGTGGATTTGTATGCCTTGAAGAAAGGCATCAAGCACTTGGAAGGAGACGGGCCGTCACACGCCTCGCGCAGCGAACCGCTTCGCGAAGAAGGGGGCCTGTGAGACCCAACCCTGGAAGCCCAGGAAACCAACCAGAAACACTTCTGGATGGAACTCCCCAGTGCTGGCGCCAGAGATCCTATGTAAAGGATCTCTGGCGCCGGCGCCACTAATGGAACAACCAGTTATCTCCGGTTGGGACTGGGTTTGTAATCCTTCGGAATCCTTCAGGAAACACCCGCAGCTGGCTTCACGGCCTTTACAATGGGTTTCAGGCTTCCCTCATGAAGACTGTCTTGATACCATCCGAAGAAAGCCACCCAAAGTAAACAACTCTACTCCTGAACATGCCGTGAACATGCCAAAGCACCTGGTGTCTTTGTGAGTTTCTTGCGCCATGATGTGGTTGGATTCCACCTCTGTCTCTCCCCTCCCTCCTCCCTCCTCTCTCCTCCCTGCCGTGGCAGAATACGCCGGGTTGGCATCTTTGGACCGAAAGTGGTTCACCATCTTCGCCTCGCGAAGCGGTTCGTTCTTTGCCTCTGACGATCCACCTACCAGCGCCTTTGGAGTTGGGGCGGGAGGACAAATCGCCTGAAGATCCTTGAATTCAGTAGACAACATCAACTACACATCAACCACTTCCTCTAAGGTCCATGCACAAACTCCTCCAACCAGCATCTGCACGATGGTAGTGTTATACACTCCCTGGAACTAACATGGTTACGTGGAGAATGGCCATGAGTTCAGAAGACCATGTTCCAACAAACAAACAGGTGGTGCCATCCACTTCCATGTTAGTTCCAGGGAGAGTAGTACGATAAGAGTTAACATCACCACAACATACTCGTACCATGACCCTAAACCCCGATGGCTCGTTGAAAGGGTTCCCCTCTTCGGGTCGCTGAAAGGCGAAGGGGCTTGTCTTGGAAAAAGACTCCCGCTGGCTTCGTAACCAGTGCCGTACCTTCTCAGAAGGTACTTGGACCCTCCTGGCGCCTACATAATGTGTCTCCAATCACCGTACCTGAGGTTCGGTACGACTGGATCCCTTACAAGTTGCTCGAAAACGTCGGGTGACCAGCAGCGGCTCCCGCTTCGCAGGAGTGCAGCGGCGCCTGGAGGCGCATGTGATCGCGCACTTCCAAGCGCTGCGAGCCTTGCCCCTCCTCCAGCCCAGCGAGGTGCGGGGTGCGGTCCGTACGGCACGGCGGTCGGTCGCCGACTTGGTGGCCGTGGTGGGTTTCGGGAGGTGAAGAGTTGGAGCAGGTCATAAGTGAAGGCTTTGGAGGACTCGTCCTGCTGTCTTCGAGCGATTTCGGGCATTCTTATTGCAGGTCAGATCATCAATGGAGAGGTACCCAGAGGATCTCAGGCCGCCTGTGGAACCAGGAGCCCTCGTTTGGTCCGGGTTTTGGTCGAACTGGAACTGCTGGTTACCAGCTTATTATAGTGGTTAAGCTTGGATCCACTGAGTGATCTTTATAGACACCGTGGAAACCCAAGCAGAAACAAATGGTTGTTCCAATACCAGGAGTCACAAGACGGGGTGGTGTTTAGTCCCATCCAGTGAGTGGATCATGGGCACCCCTATCCTCCAAGTTCGGCACCCCTTTGTGACTGCTGGATACTGCTGGTAGATATGGCTTGCTTGAGATCATTTACATAACGAGTGTTTGTTTGGTTTCCAGGCGACAATCTTAATATAACTTTATTGCACCTGGAAAGGCCGTTTGGAAGCTTTACAGGAATCTCATCAAGCTGCGCCTTGCAAGATCTCATCACATCAAGCTCTTCATACAAAGAGATCGAAAGCAATCGAAAGCTGTTTAGCAGTTCAAGGACACCAGGGCATGAAAAAGGTGACTTTGAAGGAGGCTTGGGTTTGCCCCATCGAATGGGAGGAGATTTGGGCCCAGGCTGCAGATCTGCAGGCTGTGCATGTGGAAAATGGTCGACTGGCTCAGCAGAGCGGCACCGAGCTTTTCAGCTTACGGAGAAGGAGCTCGCGGCAGCCAGGTGTGGCTTGCGGAACCCAGCCAGGTGGGAGAACCATCCGCCTTTGGACAGTGGAACCAATGACCAACGAGTGCGGACCTCGCTCTGAGACTCGCTTTTGACCGAGCCTCATCGCTGTTCACCATCCTCGAGGGTAAGCCTGTAACGAGAGGCTGAGTTCCACTCCTGTTTCGTTGCTTGCGCTTGCTCAAACGCGCTCGCGCGCTCATGGCGCGCGCGCGCGTTTTCTCGCTCATCGATGAGCACATCCGACGGTTCGGTGACTCAAAAGTCGATCCGACAAGACGAAGTTGGTTCGGTTCTTCGGCGGTAGGTTCTGAAACGCTTGCACCCTAACAATCATTGGATCCTATGGAGGGTTTGGACCCTGCAGAACGCAGGGGTTTGGACCCGAACCAAACCTTCACCGAACTGAGGGTCCTTGATTCTTAGGGCAGGTGTTTTTTCCTCAGTGGGTGAATGATGTGTGATTTTCCAAGCAGGATTCAGGGGCTTTTGATGTGTGTCCCGATGGTGATGGAGCGTTGGATTCCAGGGGAACGAACGAACGAAGCCACGGTGTGGTGGTGGACACCATGCAGCTGGTCCTTTTGCTTGTCCTTTCATGCTTGGACACCAAGCAGGTTCTGGGTGTTGTTGACCCCTTGGTTTGAATATGGACATACTTTTTCTTCCAGTGCTGTGAGGAATTTGACTAAGCCATGCATTTCTGCGACTCGGATATACACGTCTTGTGTTTGGATCGTCTGTTAGAGAGAACAGCTTGGGGTGAGCAGCCATGGCATGGCCGCCAAAGGTTTGACTCATGAGTTCATGAGTTCCGGTCTTCGCCTACCTGCGATAAAGGGGGAAGTTCCTCCCTTTACAAGCGACTCGGATCTTCAAACATCCCCAGCCTTAAGCAAGCTCTTTTTGCTTGCTTGCACTCAGAGCGTTCAGGCTTGGTTCGTTTACTAAGTTAAAGAAAACAAGGCCTCGCTAAAGTGTCCCACAGCCCTTTCGAAATAGAAAAGGGCCACGCACGCCGGCATTGAGCTTGGCGTATAGCCTTCAAAAACCATTCAAACCATGGTTGACCTGATTTTGTTGTGTAAGATCCTCATTAAAACAATGGTTGTTCAATATTTCAGGCCATTAAACACCATGGTGGGCCAGGAATCCGGGAACAGGCTAGGATTGATAACCGGCGTAGGTAGGACCGAGAAGATCTCAACGCCCCACGCAGGTGCAGATGCCGCCGATGTCGCCCGTGCCCGACCGCTTTTCATGTTGACGGCCGGGCTGACGGGCAACTGAGCCAATCGACCACTCTAACTGAGCAATATGGCAATACTAGGAACAAGAAGCTACTAGGGGCTCCTGGCCTTACTACTAGGAACAAGAAGCTACTAGGGGCTCCTGGCCTTACTACTAGGAGCAAGGACGCTACTAGGGGCTCCTGGCATCGCTACTAGGAGCAAGGACGCTACTAGGTGCTCCTTACTCGCCTTCCTTCTCTCTTCAGAGAGATAAACTTCGGGTCAGAAGAACATCAAAAAGGGTTTCATGTTTCACCTTCTAAAGGTCCAGCCTATTAGGATCTTTTAGGGAGTACGTATAGCTTTGTAGCATGAAGTCCATCAGTGGAACAAACATCGAGGATTTTTCACCCCAAAGTCTCAGTTCTTTTTTCCGTATTCACGATGCGTCTTCCAGACGCAAGTCTGTACATATTCTTTTATCTTCATGCAAACGACTATGACAATGGAACAACGCATTTCCAGAGCAGACGCGACGCACACATTGTTGGTTGGCTCGGCTGTGAGTTTCCCACAGATCATTTCTCCTCTTCGCCTATTCTGGTGGTGATTCCTATCCTCCTTAGGGCCTTAGGGGCCTTCAACCCCTGGGGTGTTCCGAACACCAGGACCTGTAAAATGGTTCAGGGGGACACCGGAGGACACCCTGAATTGGATGATGTTTCCTGCGTTCTTTGAAGCTCGATCAGCTGTTGATTTGTCTTCTTGGCATGGTGAGGTGCCGAAAAAATCACTCGAGCACACGCACACGCACGCACCCACGCACACACGCACACACACGCACGCACGCACGCACGCACGCACGCACGCACGCACGCACGCAC